GCTGTTGGAATGTGGCGACTCAGATAATGACTGGGGCTAAGCTACATCAGAAAACTGTGATAAGGATCCATTGTGTCTCCGTGTCTCAGATACCTGGATTCTTGTCAGCCTGATGTAGAAACCACAGTTCCTGTGGCAGGTCTAATCCCCTCCTGGTGCTGGACAAAGCGTGGTAATCAGTAAGGGGATTTGATTTATCATTTCTCTTTGATGTATTTCTCCAGGTAGCCTTGCACTTCTCCCTGAAGTCCCAGGGCTTGCAGTAAAGAGGAGGTCTTCTGGTAAGAAGAAAACCTGTAATTTCAGCATTCACCTCCTTTGCTTTATATTCCCCTTGAGGTTACTAAGAAGATTATGGAGAAAAATACAGGCTGGGGCAATGCCTTCTGAAAGCTAGTGTCACATTTTATTCCAGCTCGTATGATGCATTCAACAGCCTCATCTAGTCTGAGTTTAAAATTGAGCCATGGGTGAGAACTCACTAGTTAGCCAAGGACCATGAAGTTAGACAAGAGACAATGCTAGCAAGAGAGTTCAGTTAAGATCTTATCATCCTTCTTAAGCATGGGGATACCCATGAATTATGCTTTAGGGCTTCAGTTGTGTTTCAGTGGTTGCTTAGGTGGTACTGACAAAGGCCAGCTTTGGTGTAGTGGAGGTTGTATTTCTGGAGTTCCCCTGTAGTCACTGATGGGAGAAGGGTTTTATCTCTTGACCATTTTTGAAAGCCCAGCCCCAGGTGCTCTGAACTGGTGGAGCTTTGCTTCTCCTTAACCATAGCTCTTGTATCTTGATAACCTGAGATCTTCCTCACAGTAGTCCTGATGGGCATCTGTCTGGATGTCACTAAATGAAGGAAACAAGATTTCTTCATCATTCTACTTAAGATGGGGCTGGCACATACATTTGAGGTGTAACCACCTGAGTCACATTGCATCTGCTTCTGGAATACGTTGCTGTACAGCTTGAATTTGGATTTTTATCCACTTGTCTTCCTTATAACATAGATACACAGAATGGCTGAGGTGGGAAGGGACCACTGGGGTCATCTAGCCCAACCTCCCTGCTCAAGAAGGGTCACCTATAACAGCACATTGCTCAGGATTGCTCTCAGAGGGCTCTTGAATATCTCCAGGGGAGGAGCCTCTCTGGACAACCTATTCCAGTGCTCAGTCACCCTCACAGTCAAGTTCTTTCTCATGTTCAGGTGGAACTCCCTGTGTTTTAGTTCACGCCTGTTGCCTCTCATCCTATCACATGGCACCACTGAGAAGAGTCTTGCCCCATCCTCTTGACACACTCTGATCAGATACTCTCATACATTGATCAGATTCCCCCTATAGCCTTCTCTTCTCCAGGATGACCAGGCTCCTCCAGCCTTTCGTCACAGGAGAGATGCTCCATACCCTTCACCATTCTAGGACCCTTTTGCTGGACTTGTTCCAGGAGCTCCATGTGTCTCTCATACTGGGAAGCCCAGAACTGGACACAGAGGATTAGCTTACAGAATATTGCCATATAAAAGTGCATCTCCTCTTGTATTGTGATAAAAGCTTTTTGATCCGTTGATTGTCATGTCCACTAGCAAGACCAAAAGCAATTCTAAAGAAGCCTCTGTGTGTTTGGTGTATGGACGTCATTGTTAAATATATAATGTATGAATACACAGAGCAAGGCTGTGATTCTAATCACGTGTAAGCAAACACATGACAACTGTCAGGGAAGATGAGAGGTGCAAAACATGACAACTACTTGCTGTTAGCAGTGTATCCGAAAGGGAGCCTGAGTCCTGGTTCTTCCTAAGCACGTGCTTGGCTTTGGGTCTGCTGTTCAGTTCCCCTTAGGTCAATAGAGCCCACGTGTGCACTCATATTTAAGCATTAATTTAAGCTTAAGCGTTTAAGCAATGAAGCAGTGGGCACAGCTGAAGACACTGTTGAGTTGAGCTCTGTTACGCGAGTGAGAAAATGCAGAGTTCTGCATGCACTAAAGAAAGAAAGGAAAAACCCCACCACTTCATCAAATGGGGAAAAATGGATTTTTTTCCTTTGACTTGGCTCAGATCTTGGCTCCTTCAGAGACTGGTATGCAGCATATGATAAATGCTTTATAAATATGTTTTACATTATATGATATGTTTTCATCTGGGCACAAACTGACCGTAAATCAGGCTGAAATACAGCCCAGTATTGAAAGCCAGGGCAAGTGTTTAAGTGCAATGTTAGTGCATAGTTTTCAAGGGGATAGACATATGGTGAGGCTGGATCACTAAATACCTGGATTCCTGCTGAAACAGAGCACTTTAAGAACAGAAATCCCTTAAATACCTGAGAAGGGACAACTGATTTCTGCATATTAGGCTTTCAAAATTCTGGATTTCCACTCTATTCTTCTAGCTATTATTACGAGACCATGATTTTTGATTAAATCATCAGCTTCTGTATCACCTAAGATGTGCATTGGCTCTATGTTCCACCCAGACAAAACTTTGTGGATTCTCAACCTGTTTGGAAAGCTCTACCAGAGCTCTGCAAGAAAGGTAAAAGACAGTTTTCCAGTGGGAACATAACCTGAACATGTTACCTAGCAAAAGTAATTCCTCTTGCATTTGATGTGTTGTTTCATTCTGTTTTTCCTTAGCTCTACAAATCAGGTATTGTCAAGGGCGTGCTTTAGTGATGGTCCTATGGAGCTCCCCAGATCATGCAAACAGGGAAGCTCAAGCAGTGAGAACGGGGATACAGAAATGCAGATCCAGCTATTCCTAGTTTGAATGGTTCCCTCGCAAAGGGCTGGCACAAGATTCAATGTGTTATTCCTTCTTCTTGGCCCTTACTTCTATCATCATATTCATGTAACAGTACATTATTATTACGTTGTCACTGGCATTGGATGCTTCCCATTGCGTTTGTAAATGGCATGCCAGGATTTTGTCAGCTGGACCTACACCATTGAGGCAGGCAGTTTCTGTTTCTGCTCGGACTGACAGAATTCCTCTTGGACTAAGCATTGTGACATGACTTCAGCATTTGGATGCACACTAAAAGACAGGAGTGGATGGAAGCATGGCACTGCTAGCCTTTTTCTGGATAGTCTTCCTTGCCAAGAATGGGGAGCTGAATTTTTTTATGGGCTGACAGTTCTGTACCTGCAGCTGAAGTAAGTGATTGTGCTCCTGTGCTGGGCACTGGTGAGGCTGCACCTCGAGTCCTGTGTTCAGTTCTGTGCCTCTCACTACAAGAGAGACTTTGAGGTGCTGGAGTGGGGCCAGGGAAGAGCAATGGAGCTGGTGCAGGGCCTGGAGCACAGGTGTGATGGGGAAGGGCTGAGGGACCTGGGGGGTTTAGTCTGGAGAAGAGAAGGCTCATGGGGGACCTTATTGCTCTCTACAACTGGAGGGGGCTGGGCTCTGCTCCCAAGGAACGAGGAATGGGACAAGAGGAAATGGCCTCAAGCTGCACCAGGGGAGGTTTAGATGGAGATGAGGAACAATTCATTCCCCAAAGGGTGCTCAGGCATTGGAACAGGCTGCCCAGGGTAGTGATGGAGTCACTGTCCCTGGAAGTGTTCACACACTGCGTAGATGAGGCTCTCAGTGCCATGGGTTAGTGGTGGCCTTGGCAGTGCTGGGGGAACGGCTGGACTTGGTGATCGTTTCCAACCTCATTGATTCTACAACCCTATGAGTGAGTTGCATTGCAGAGTCCTGTTAGGTGGAGTTTCGTTCATGTCATCCAGCTGCTTCGCTTCCCTCCTCCTTCTGGAGGAGGATGAATCCCTCATTTTCCCTGTGCTTCAGCCCATGTTCCCTTTAATGCTGTCAAATACATCATCCAGTGCTCGGGTAATTAATTGAAAAGGCTCATCACTTTCTTGCTTCAAAAGGCAGAGAATTTGTCTCAGCAGTGCTAATGGGATCATGTGGCATTTGTGGCAGAATTTGTCTCAGGAGTGCTAATGGGATCATGTGGCATTTGTACCCTTTTCTTTATCACAGCATATTGACTTTCTGCCTAAATCAGATTAATTTTATCCATATTGATTGCACAATTATAACCCCCTATTAAAATCTTTTCATTAATAGTTATGTCTCCCTGCTAATAGGGAGTAAATGCTCTGTTGTTCTCACTCCGGGCTCTAATGAGCATATTGATCACGGAATCCCAGACTGGTTCGGGTTGGAAGGGACCTTAAAGCTCATGCAGTTCCAACCCCCTGCCACAGGCAGGGACACCTTCCACTAGAGCAGGTTGCTCCAAGCCCTGTCCAACCTGGCCTTGAACGCTGCGAGGGATGGGGCATTCACAACTTCTTCAGTCCTTTCAGTTTGCTCATACACTAAAGGCTGAAGTTATTGATAAATGACTTTTTATTTGATCTGATCACTGCACCGCTTACAGTTAGGAATGGAAGACGTTTACTTCTTCATAACCCTGGGTGTACTCTCATGAAGAAGAGAGGATTTGCACTACCCTAACTCCAAGGCAGGGCTGGCGACCCCAGGGCAGGGCTGGTGGTCCCAGGGAAGGGCTGGTGGCACCAGCCAAGCGGTGGGAAGCAGATCGGTCTCCTCCAACGTCTCCTTCTGCACCCCAGCTTTGCGACATCCCTCCTTCTCCCTCCAGACGCTGGGCCTCAAGGGTCGGCGTTGCTGGTGAGAATGGAACCAGGGTGGGAGACCGGGTCCTAGCGGCAGTCGCAGGGCTGTTGTATGGGAGAGGGGGATGTCCGCTAAGGGAGGACGGGCGGAGGACAGGAGGTCCGCGAGTTCAGGGGCCGGATAGAGAGCATCGCGTTCCCCGGCGGGGCCGGCGGGCGGCTGTGCCGGGTCCAGCGGCGTGTGCCACCCGCAGCCGGCAGGGGGCGCCGGCGGAGCGGGGCGGACGGGGCGCGTAGTCCCCGCGCGTCGCGGCTCGGGGCGCAGCGGAGCGGAGCGGGGCCGGGCCGAGCGGAGCCGAGCGGAGCCGCGGGGCGGGCACAAAAGCGCCGCGCCCGGCAGCCCCGCCTGGGAGTCGGCGCTCTGCTGGCCGGGGCTCAGCGCTCAGCGGCGCCGGGACGGGCGGCTGCCGCCCCTGGGGCTCGCAGGATGCCGGCGGCTGCGCGGCGGCGCGGGGCGCGGGTGCTATGGGCGCTGCTGTGGGTGTCCCTAGCGCGCTGCTACAACGTGGACCTGGGTCGCCCCGTGGTTTTCCAGGGCCCCAATGGCTCCTTCTTCGGGTACTCGGTGCTGCAGCACTACCACGACAGCACGCGGTGGTGAGTACCGCGGTCCCCCGCGGCAGCGCATCTCCTTCAGCGAGGGAAGCGGGACCGGGCACGGCTGCTCCCGTGGCTCCGCGCCCGTCGTGTGCGGGGGGTACTCGCCCCGGTGTCACCCGGATCCCTCTCGGTTCCCCCCCCCCCCCCCGGTGGGTGCCCCTTCCCGGGCACCGTGAGCTCGCTGTCCCGGGCGGTGGTGGTCCTTGCGGGAAGCATGTAGTAGCTGATCCCCGTGACAGAAAACGCGTGGGGTGTGAAGGAGGGTGGGTCTTGCCGTGTTAAACGGGAGGAATTTTAGCAGCGGTGACCTCCAGGGAGGAAACCCCGATGGCTGGGAGGACGTTCCCGAGTCAGACGGCGTTTGCCTCCGCCGAGTGCCCGCTGTTGGCGTGGGGTGGGGGGGGCCGCAGAGGAAACGTCTGTGTAACTTACAAAGGGCCAAGAATGAACGATGGTAGAAAGTTTGTCTACATCTCAAAAAATTATGCAAACTGGCAAGCTGCTTGTTTTTCCCGTTCAGTGAAAAGAGCCTTGGAACGCAGTCCGTCTCTCTCTTGTCTAGGTCAGAGGCTCTTTGTTAGCATTAAAACTGATTTCTCTTAATTGGACCTAGTCGATGTCATCTGGTGCACTTTGAATGTGAGCAGGAGCCGCTGCTGCCAATAAACGTCCACAAAGCTTGGCTTTATCTTTAACGCTGAGATACGGCCCCGTCACTCAGCTATTGATGTTGGAACTGTGGAGCACTGTGATATAAATAAATGTATTCATGCTGGCGTCCAGTTCTTTAAAAATGAATTTCTTTCACACCCTTTAGTTCGAGCAGTTGTATGCTCTGCCTAGCTCCATGGTGGCTTTCATGGAGCATTCATTTTTAAGGACTTATCAGAAGACTTCATAGAGGAAAGGCGCTTTGGGAGAAGAAAAGCTCTCAGTTAAAGCAATGCTTAACTTGGGGCAGGAACCAACGAAGGATGCAGAGGCTGAAAGTGACTTGTGTTCCACACAGACTGCTGGGGATGCACAGCTGTGCAAATGAGATGCTGGTCTAGTGCTAGGGTGGAACTGGAATGATTTGTTGCTCCTTGTGAAGGTGTCTGTCATGCTGATTGATAACAGGAATTATCTGCAGATAGCACCTGGGATTTTAATTTTTGGAAGGGGAGGTGAACTAGGGAGGGGAGTCTCCCAGGTACCCCACTTTGTTTGGCAGTGACACTGGAATAGCAGTGTTGGGCATCCATCTGTAAGGCAGGCATCTGGTGTTTGGAAGTAAAAATGCCAGTTCTGCAAACTTCAGTTTTGTGAAAATGGAGCTTCTGCATGGAAGAATGGAGCCCTGGCTCTCGGCACCCAGGAATAAACAAGTATCTAAGATCATGAAGTGGTTTTGAATAAAAGAGTTGCTAGCCCTGTCGCCTGAAAGCGTTAACAGGTCTTAAGATGGTCAGCATCGTCATTGTCCAAAATCATGAGGGCTTGGTTGTCACTGCTGATGGAGAAGCTCCTCTTCTCACTGTGGGGCTATGGAGTTTGTTTTCATGGGTGCTTTAAAATCCTGTGCCCAGCAGAGGCTGGGATAAGAAGTCTGGGTGATGTTTTTTATACTGTCCTTGATTCCAGTTTCCTTTCCACAGCTGTGCTCTTAATGTGCACATGCCTCTTAGACTAGAGGTCAAGGATGATATAGTACTGTTTTAAACCATGTTTATACTGTACAGAATCTTATACATCCCTTTGGAGCATCAAATCTCTGATTTCAAGTTTAAACTGGTTACCACTTTCAGGGTATTGAAATACAAGATACAATCCCAGTTTATTGGATGAGTTCAGTGGGAAATGCTTAGTAAAATTCATGCCATTTTTCAGATTTGACAGGTTTTTGTGTGTTGAAGCTTTTGTGTGCAAAGATGTAGCTATAGAGCTATTTCCTTAACTAGCTTGTAGTGGGTAATTTGTATTCCGTGTCCTCCCGTTCTCTTGTAAATGTGGTATTCCGGGGAAAGGCTGAAGTCTGTTATGTATGTAGTAAAAATGTTTTCTATTCAACTCATTGTAGCATACACCTCCTGTTAGTAGTCGTAGAGTTATTGCCTGGGTTTGTGTGCCTGTTTTCTTCTTCCCTTTGTAGCTTTTATATACCCAAAGAAGAGTTATGATTTCAGTTTTCTCAAGTCTATTTGGCCGATATCCCACAATGGGCAGTAGTTCAGCTAAGTTAACTTCAGACAGTGATATTTTGGGCACTCATAGCTTGCGTGGTGAGCTGTGCGCTATGTGAGCCTGCAAAAATGTGGTTGATCGTATCTGAGGCTGATAGGGCTCCTGCCTATCTAACATTATTTAATGTGTTAATATGTTCTCAAGCATTTCAGGGTGTTGTCATGATAGTTCAAGGGCTTCTTGCTCTTTATTCCCTGAGGGCCTGATAGACACCTAATGGACTTCTGATCATGAGAGTGTGTTATTCCCAGTAGCTTGTCCATGTGCTGGTGTGTGTCTACATATCAGTGTGTCTGTATATATAGACACTGATTTATATTAAAATGGTATCTGTATGACCAGGTTCTTCAGTGTTTCAGCTGTTTTCCAACACCACAAAGGCACCTGTCTATATTACCTACATCGGCCTGCAGGCTTCCAGTAACCGATTCAGGGCTTGGTGATTCCTGAGGATTTATATAAGCCAAGTGTTGTTGCAGGAGGAAAGAAAGGGGGAAGGAGAAATATTTGGCTTGAAATATTACCCCAGATAAATGTGAATAGTTGGGCTGCCACACAGCCATTGACACAGAAATTATATTGGAGCATGGGTGTTCAACCTCCACTATGCTGGAGTAAATCAGTGCCGTTGAATTGTCTGAAATAGTTAATTGTGGCAATGCTCCCATTTAGGAGTTGTTTTTGCACACTTCTCGTTTCAAGGAAAGTTTGTCACCACAGATGTGCTGAGGTTATTGTACTTCTGACAATGTCTCCTTTTCCTTCCTTAAGCGGGTTTTATGGCTGTAAATCCTGAAAGGTTTACCCAGTTCCCCGTCATTGCCTTTTTCAGCTGAGTAAGGAACCAGGTGGCTGCTCGCATTTGGAGCAGAGACAAGTTGAAGTGCTTCTGTTTTCTGGATGTAATTTTGAAGCCTGGAGTAAAGACTCAAGTAACAAGCAAGAAACCACCCCAGACAGCTTAAAAAGAAACAAATGTCAATTTTTGCCCCATTAAAAAACGTTAATAATGTGACATTTCTTACCGTTCTCTTTTGAAAGGCTACTTTTATCTCTCTCCTTTCTTCTCTGTATGCCTCCTTCTAGCTGACACCCCCAAATCCCTCAGCAAGTCCAGGGTAACAATTTTATCCTTTCTGGCAACATGATCTGGCACGACAAAGCAGTGGAGTCAGTTTAGTTTCACGGTGTCCTGCTGTGAGTTTTACAATAAGGAATGAGTCTGGTTTCTGTGCTGTTGCTTCATTCCTTCTGCCCTGCTCTTCACTGGATTGCACTGCTGCTGAAATAACGAAGGCTGTTCTGCATCTCAGGCTGACCAATATGTGTTGTTAGTGCATAGAATCACAGAACAGTTTGTGTTGAAAGGGACCTTAAAGCTCATCCAGCTCCAACCCCCTGCCACGGGCAGGGACACCTTCCACTAAAGCAGGTTGCTCCAAGCCCCTGTGTCCAACCTGGCCTTGAACACTGCCAGGGATGGGGCAGCCACAGCTTCTCTGGGCACCCTGTGCCAGCGCCTCAGCACCCTCACAGGGAAGAACTTCTGCCTGAGAGCTCATCTCAGTCTCCTCTCTGTCAGGTTAAAGCCATTCCCCTTGTCCTGTCCCTACAGGCCCTTTTCAGAAGTCCCTCTCCCGATTTCTTGTACCCCCCTTTAGCGTGATTGTACTCTGTATGCAATCAGAAGGAAGGTGCAGGAACAGGCTGACACTGTGGAGGGTGGGTGTTGCATTAACGATGCTGTGTTGCACGAATGATGTAGTGATGCTTTAGATGCCGCTGTGGTGTTTTGGTGAGTTGGGGCTTGATCTTGTTGGTCACAGGTCATCCATCTGCCATCCAGATAACATCCCTCCTGCTTTTGCTCTGCACGTAATGGATGAATCACTGGGTTTTTTGTTTCAAGGGCTTAGCCAGTGACAGAGACCTCTCTGAAGGGAATAAACTCAGCTGGGCCATGCTGGTGGTGCACCCTCCGCTGGTGCTGCTTCTGAAATCAGCTGCGGTATGTGAGGATATTTAAAGGCTTACTTCTCTGCTACTTAACATTACGGTGAGGTGAGGTACCTACACTCCCCAGTCCTTGAGCTCTGATTGCCTAATCGCTGCTGGCATGCTGGAGGCTGATGCTTAATGTGCTTGGCATCTCTCCATGCCATCGGTCAGCTCGACACTTCCCTTCACTGTTCCTTCTGCTAAATGCAGCACTTAATTTCCAAATCTGTATGTCCCAAGGGTCAATCACCAGCAAAGTGATAGCCACTGCTCTGCAGGAAATAATTTTCAGGAGGTGTGGATTCCCCTGTGGCTAGGAAAGCTTCTTCTCAGCCTTTAATGTTGGCTGCTGCTGAAATGTGATGGTTTCTAGCTGCAGAGCTGTGTAGTTGTCTCTGTACAGATGAGGGCTTTTGTCCTTTAGTGCATGAGTTTAAATGCAAGAAGAGAAGGTTAAATGGCCTCTGCCTACTGCTTCTCATGTTGGTTTAGACCTTAGTACTTCGTCATGCCAGACAGAACAGAAGATCTCCAAATGTTTCACTTGCTGGGATCTAGGTGCAAGAATGAAAGCATGAGACAAGATCCTAAGGTGACAAAGTGTGTGATGTAGGTGAAATACCAAAGTTGAATGTATGGACATTCAGGACAATTCAGAATAAGTCTGCTTTTGGCACACATCACCAGTTGCCTTTACTGGCTGATTCCTTCTGCTCAATCCACATGCAGACGTTATCTTTCCAAAAGGCGTATTTGCTCAAGGCAGCAGTATTGCCTTTGCCAGGAGCCTACTCAAGTCATTCATAATCAATTTTTCCCATTCAGCTGATTAAAGAGACCTGAAGAGTCTTTGTAATGTAGGCTCCTTCATCTCCATCTTGCATTCTGCAACCCAAGGTATCATGTGCACTAATTGCTGAATCATATTTACTTTTCTTAGGTTAGGGCAAAGCTTCTTTTAAACTGGAGGTCAGTGCAGCCTACATTATCTTATTGTTCTAACAGGTCATAGAAACAGTTTCTTGCCATTTGCAATTTAAACCTGCAACTCTTTAAGCTAGTAATATCCCCCCTTATTTATTTTTGTTAGACCTCATGAATGTCAATAAATGAATGACATGCATTCATCGCCTGTGTAAATGAAATGATTGGCATTTGATTTTCTGCCTGCCGCCTGCCTGGTGGGATTTCCATTTGGAGCTATTATTTCAGGCTCCTTTGCACTCGCTCCCAAATGTGTGCAGGCTTTGTAGTTTTTAGCAATTTAAGTATTTCAGACATTAATTCTTCGCAGTTGTGCAAACACGTGTGTTGTAGAGTGCAGCCCCATCTAACTTTTTGAAATGATACAGGTTAGCACGTGAAATGTTGGAGAAAATGATCATTTAATGTAGGGCTTTCCTCTTCTTTTTGTGAATACATTTCCAAGTGCCACGGGACAGTTTCCAGGATGTGCTGCTGTTTGGTGTAGACCAGACTCTGCTGCAGGCAGGAGCAGCTCTTCCAGGTAGCTGAGGTTGACCCTGTATAGGTGCATGCCTTGTGCCGTGGCTCTCCCTGTGTGTGCTGGGATGGTGATGATGGGTGGTGGTTGGGGATGGAACTTTAAATTGGAGGATGAAGGGAAAATTGTTGAAAACAGGGAAAGCTTCCACTCTGGTGCTGGTGCTGGGCTGTCCATCTGTGCCGTGGGTGGGCTGTGCATGAGGGCTGACTGCACCAGTAGCTCTTTACCCCTTTAGTGGCTAAACCAAGAGCAGCATCTCCTGGAGCTGCTGCTGCCTCCCAAGGAGCAGCCTGGATCCACACATGTGAGTGCCAGAGGCTTAGCCCTTTAGAGATGGTTGCCTTTACTTGCAGCCCTGGGCTTAACTTCAGCAAGGATGTTGTTACCTGCAGAAACTCTGCCCTGCCCTCACAGTGTGAGAGCATCAGCAGAACTGACACTAAACAACCTGGTGCTCTGCACCATCCTCCCTGGAGTGCATTCCTTCTACTTCACCTCTGTCCTCACCCTTGTGTGCCCAGATCCTGGCTCACAACCAGGTGGGAAAGATTGTCCCTTTAATGAGGAGGCATAATAAGGGCTCCCTTAATACTTGTGCTTCCCCTGTAATCCTCCTCAAAAGCCATCCCTTAGGGCACAAGCAGCGGCCAACTTGCTAAACAGTTAACTGGATCATAATGCAAGTGATTAAGAAGTGTTCGTCCTCTTTAAAGGGTACCTTAAGGAGCCCTATGGTCAGAGCCATGTGTTGGTTCTTCACAGAGACACTAGCTCTCATGTGGGATAAACAGCCTTCATAGTCTTAATGGTAAACGTTGGTTGATAGCAGTGCATCATGGAAGAGGTTTGCTCCTGTGGGGGTTTTTGCTGTTGTTCTTTAAAGCTGTGATTACATGAAATGTTCTGAGCATGGGGTGCCTCAACTTCCTAAACAAGCTTATAAATCTTTGGCTGGGTGGCAAGCATGCAGGTTCAGATTCCATCCTCTCGTGGGTGTGTGTATTGTGTTAGCTCTTGGGCTGATAGGGGTGTAACTAAAACTTAGGAAAAATAGGCGCAGCTGCTGTTGTCCATTCTAATACCTTCCTAAATGCTTTCAGGGGGCAGGGTGTGTGTGTGGGGTTACTTTAAATGTGTTATAATCCTAATGGAAATTTAGCTTGTTAAAGTAGTTGTGGCTTCACGGGGGGAAAATGCCTTTATTGTGCGTGGTGTTTTCAGTTTGAATCAATGTCACCGTTTCACAAGGCTGCTGAGAAAAGTCCATTTGCTGGGCAAGCTCTGGCAGTGTGAACCTTGCTGTTGGTTGTTTGCTCCTTTCTGTCTTTTCTCCTGAAATTAATTACTTGTTACTTTGCTTTTGGTTTCCAGGGTCTTGGTTGGTGCTCCCAAGGCAGAATCTAAATACAGCACCTCTGTTCAGTCCCCAGGAGCAGTGTTTAAATGTCGAGTCCATACCAACCCTGACAGAAGATGCACCGAGCTGGATATGGGGCGAGGTGGGTAATTATGATGCTTGGGGAAGGGAGAAAGGGAGAACCAAAAAACCACCAATACAAATGGCTCGCAACTGAAGAGGCTCCAAGACATTGAGAGGGTTTTGCCAGCCTCTCCTGATGGATTTTAAGCACTGGTAGTAAAGGTGTCATACTCCCTTCAGCATTATGCAATAGCATCCCACAGGGTGCTGGTGTCCTCTCAGTGGCCCTGTTTGCTCTCTCCAGTGAGTAACCAGGCAAAGGTGAGGTTTTCCCTTCTTACCCTGAGCTGCTGTCTATTCTCTACCTGCTTCAGTGTGACTTTGCAGCGTGTTGGTGGGTGAGGGCTTGGAAGAGCTGCTGCCTGCTCCAGGCAGTGCTGAAATAAGGGTGTGTGGATGGCTCCACAAGGTGTTATGGTGGTCTTGTAACGTGTGCTGTAAGAGGCAATGTGGAGATCAGTGGGTTCCCTCGTCATGCAGCACGTAATTCCTTGGGTTTGCTTTTTTTTTGTGCTACAGGAAATAAGTTTCTCAGCCAGAGCCATGCTTGTAGACTGTTGTGCAGGATTAGGACTGACTTTGGTTTCCCTCATGTACTGTCTTGAGTTGGGGGAAGGTGGAGTCCTGAAGTAAAACTCTGATCTAAAACCTTATGCTTGATTCTGATGGAGGAAATTGAAGCCCTTTAATATTTTGTTTCTCATGGTGAGGTGTGGTGTTGCTTTCTCTGCCTATAGAAAAGGCATGTTAGTATTGTTCATCTTTCCATGACTGAGTCAAGTAGGGTTTATTTTTATGGAGCGTAGGTGTGTTAAAGGAGTGCTTTGGCTAAGTTTGATTTGCCCAGCTACTGTAATGTAAACTGTCTGCCATGGACTCATGAATACTGCATGATGGGATTTCAGATTTAGGTTTCAGTTGTCTTCTTTTAAAGTGCCCAGATCTCTTTTTTTCAAGAGAAATTTGCTTTGATTGCATTCTGCAGGCAATTCCACGTCTCTCCCATTGAATTCAGTTGAAAGGTTTATTCAAGTAGAGTGTGGACATGCTGTGATAGCTACTTACTGTTCAGGACAGGGTTTGTCCTCCACTGTGTACTTGTACGGTGCCTGGTAAGAGTATTGTCACGATTAATGTGTACAGGAGCTAATAATCAGGCTGAAAGGGAAAAGAAATGCACTGTGAGGTGGGTGTTTCATGGGCAGTCCCTTTTCTTGTAGGGATTCTTTGGTGGGTATTTAAAACTCATGTCTCTGCCTTGCTGCCTTTCCCCTCTTTCTGTAGGCAACTCTCGGGGCATGCTCTGTGGCAAGACCTGCAAAGAAGACAGAGATGATGAATGGATGGGTGTGAGCCTGGCTAGACAGCCGAAGGCTGGTGGAAGCGTGCTGGTAAGTCCATTCTTTCCTTTGATCTCATTAAAACTGCTGCTGCTGTCTGACTCTTATGCTAAACACATCAGGATTAATGTGCTCGGCAGTGACTGAAAGAGTCCAGCTTTACAGGCAGCAAGTTCTGTACTCTTCCTTAAAGCGGAAGGAAAAGTGAGCCCTAGCCAGGAAGCTTTATTTATAGAGGGAGGACTTCAAAGCTGTCACACCTGACTTGTGTCACCCAGGGCTTCCTCCTAAATCTGAGGGATTAAATCTTTGAACCGAATAAAAAGAACTTTGTCTGGGAGGTACCTGTTTCTCTGAGTTTATGTCTGGAGCATGTATGCATCCTCTTTCCCCGAGTGCAGGCATTGCGTGTCAGAACTCACACTGAAAAATGTAAGATGAGTCTTTGTGGTGATATTTTTCCTTTATATATATCAATTTTCCATTAACGATGCATTAGAGCTGTGAGTAGAGATGACTTGATTGTGTGTGGGTGGCCTTGTTGTCTTTGGTACGGTTGCCATGCGCATAGACAGGTCAAGGAGAGCAGATGTGATCCTTACGATGTGGAATTTATCTTTGCAAAACATTTCCTGTGCTGGAAAAAGATAATCATAAGGAGAGCTGAGCAAAAACCTTTCCGAAATACATGGCTATTTTGTGATCAATAGTTGTCTGCATTTACAACCACAATTGGATTCTGACTGTCTCCTGAGTGAACCTGTCTGCAGGAATGTTAACTGAAATCTAAGCATATTGCAGTGAAATACTGTGCACAGTACGTGTGGCAGGCAAATTTCAGGCTAGTATCCTGCTCTGACAACAATCTAACTCTAAACACTGCTGTTTGAGAGTTGGAAACTTCCACTTTGACCCCATCTTTCCAATGGGGTAAGGGATCGCCCTGGTACGCAACATCAAACTGTCACAAAGCTGGTAGCGAGAAAGATCTCGTGCAATGATTACTGTGTCAACGACCTATGTAAAGGCAAGTAGGTAAAGCTGCTTCATTCAAAGGCATTCTACTATGCACTCAAGAGTCCAAACACGTCCCAGGTCCTTGCACACCAACTTCCCCATGGGGAGCAGGTGGTTTTGATACTTCCCTGCAATAGTAAGTACTGTGGTATTATATCTGATCATCTCGTTTTGTGTACAGCTTGCCAGTGCTATAGGGGCCAGCTGATGCTCTGCTTTACGTGGATGTTTTAAATGGGTGCAGTACCAACGGAGGAGGGGAAAGAGGGGCATAAATAAAATGTACTACAAACAGGTACAGCAGAGCAGAAAATTAAGGCATTCATGCTAGTGTGATTCATATTTTCAAGGGATATCCCGATCTATATGTTTACTCAGAGTAAACTTAGGCTTGTTCAGCCTGGGGAACAGAAGGCTTCTTGAGGGGAGACCATAGAGCAGCTCCCAGTGCCTAAAAGGCCTACAAGCAACCTGGAGAGGGGCTTTGGACAAGGGCCTGTAGGGACAGGACACAGGACAAGGGGAATGGCTTTAACCTGACAGAGGGGAGATTGAGATGAGCTCTTAGGCAGAAGTTCTTCCCTGTGAGGGTGCTGAGGCCCTGGCACAGGGTGCCCAGAGAAGCTGTGGCTGCCCCATCCCTGGCAGTGTTCAAGGCCAGGTTGGACACAGGGGCTTGGAGCAACCTGCTCTAGTGGAAAGTGTCCCTGCCCGTGGCAGGGGTTGGAACTGGATGAGCTTTAAGATCCCTTCCAAACCAGCCTGGGATTCTAAACCAGCCCTCTGACAAGATTATACTGCTCTCACCAAGTAGATCATGTCTGCATGCTTGAGGATGTTTAAATATCTAATTCTTACTGCAATTTGTTGCCAAAGCGCTCTTAAACTACTAATTACACATCTGTGCACACCTGTGTGTTGACAGAGCTTGGAATGAAGGCATAAGGATTCCATCATGGATGGAAAATACCTGTTTGTTTCAGGGTGTTGTTACTGTCTGTTTTGAGATAATTTCTAAATGAAAAAGATTCATGACTTTCCCATAAGCATATTGTTTTTGTACACGTGCTCTTCTAATTTGAAGGATCAGGATTACTTTTAAATGCAGCTCTTCTTTGAAGCCCCTGTGAGAAACTGCTGTTCAGATGGGACATGTCTGAATGTGGGTTTGCAGCCATATCTGCTGAAATTTAGGTTTTTACTGAAGTTACCAGCAAACTCCCATGAGTGATTCCCTGTAGTTAGGAGAGAGTACATATATACCTATATATGTATAGTGTCAGGCATCACAGCTCTATTTTCTGCACCTCTTTCAGGGATTCCATTAAGTCAGGGTGGTATTTTTGTGATCAGTAACCCTGGATGGGTTACAGTCAGTTGCCTTTAAACCCATGTGAAATACTCACATCCTGTGTTAGTTCCACAGTTTAACTGTGGATTGTACAAAGAAGTTGTTGCTTTTGCTTTGAAAACCCTTAGTGGCTGAAATTTCTGTCTTATCAGCCTTCCCTGTTGCCTTGTAAGAGACCCAGCTTCAGTGGAACGGGTGGTAGGGGAGGTGAGGAGGTGCAGAGGAGGCTTTAGCTGGTGTTCAGTTATAAATGGATTGTGTTTGAGCCCATGTTGGGCCAGGATGTTACTGAACTGGGGTTTTATGTTTGTGTGAGGGGCTGAACAGAAAAGCAATGAGGATTTAAACAAACGAAGAAGTGAGATCAGCTAAAAGAAGCTCTGTGGCTTCCTGCCCCCGGGTATGCTGTCAGTCAATATTTGCATTAATCTAAGTGCTGTAATAGCAGAGTTGAGATTGCCAGCTGTTTCCAAACTGCAATGGCAAAAGTCCTCATTTTGATTTCTTGGGAGAGGAGCTGGGAACAGTGCATTGTGGTTTGGAGATCAGCCACATCCTTCAGTCTTGGTCTTCCTAAAAACTGGTTTTATATCAGGTGTTGTTATTTTTCATTTTAAGCAGTTGATTGACTTAACTGCGCATTTAGGGACTCTGTGTGTGTGTCTGTAGAAAAACCCATCACTGCAGCAAAGCCAAATGCCTCTTAGGGAAGAGCAAACCAGAAGTGGTCTGACTGTGGCACATTCAAAAGTACCTTGTTTGGACAGGAGTCAGCAGAGGGCTCTATAAGGACCTTGCATTCAGGTGGGGCACTCGGCCTCTGGAGTCAGGACTGGGTCTCTCATGTTGATTTTCCTATGGTGCAAAGCCTGTGTTGGGTGTTAAAAGAGCAAAGCATCTGCAGTTCTGAAATTGCCTGTTCGTTATGTTGTGGTAATGCAATGTCTGCCATCGATAGAGACCTCCATGCGCTTTGCCCAGAAGCGGTTTATTTCATAGAACCATAGAAACTCAGACTGGTTTGGGTTGGAAGAGGCCTTAAAGCTCATGCAGCTCCACTGGGACACCTTCCACTAGAGCAGGTTGCTCCAATCCCCCATGTCCAACCTGGCCTTGAGCACTGCCAGGGATGGGGCAGCCACACCACAGCTTCTCTGGGCACCCTGTGCCAGCGCCTCAGCACCCTCACAGGGAAGAACTTCTGCCTAAGAGCTCATCTCAGTCTCCCCTCTGTCAGGTTAAAGCCATTCCCCTTGTCCTGTGTCCTGTCCCTGCAGGCCCTTGTCCAAAGCCCCTCTGCAGCTTTCCTGTAGCCCCTTTAGGCACTGGGAGCTGCTCTAAGGTCTCCCCTTAAGGAGCCTTCTCTTCTCCAGGCTGAACCGGCCCAGCTCTCTGAGCCTGGCTCCAGAGCAGAGCTGTTCCAGCCCTTGCAGCATCTCTGTACTCGCTCCAACAACTCCACTTCCCTCTTACACTGCTGCCGCAGAGCTGGATGCAGAGCTGTAGCATGGGTCTCACCAGAGCAGAGGGGGAGAATCCCCTCCCTCAACCTGCTGCTCGCGCTCTGAGGATGCAGCCAGTACATGGTTGGTTTCTGGGCTGCAAGCACACACTGCTGGCACATCCTCTTCAAGGGTTTGCATCCTTTCTCTCCTATGCCATGGTAGAGCCATAGCCTGTGCCCTGGAAGCAGCTGCTGAGCACCAAAGTGTTCTGATGGCTTTGTCATTGCACAGGGGCTCCCCTGCATTAAAAAAAAGGGTTTATAAACTGTTAATTGTTTGTAATCACCTTAGGGAGCGGAAAAAACCCCACAGAATAACCCTCTCCACAGCATCAAATTCAGGTGACTCATCTCTGTTCCCAAGAGCTCTCTGGGCATGTGCCATCCAAGAAGGAAGGCTGTGTCCACCTTTGGTAGCACATCACCTTGCCTCAGCAACATTGAATAATTCAGGGGCTGTGTACTGTAATCCAGCTAAATGTTATTGGGAAGGCAGAAGAACCGAAAGCAGCTGTGGAGGAGCCATGGCAGGGAGACAGATGTGCTGGCTGCAGAGAAAGGAGTTCTGTGTGGGGAAGAGGAGCTGCTGTAAATCCTCTCTATTGGGAAAATGTCAAATCCTGCAGCTGTGGCTTGGGAGAGTCTGGGGAAGCCCCTCCTGAGGTAACAGAGGTGGAGCTCATCTCTCGGAGCTATGGTTATGAGCTGTCCACAGGCTCAGGCTGTCAGTGGTGAAATGCAGCATGCCTGAATATGCAGAATGCTGAAGGCTCAGGAAAGTGATCATTAACAAACCCCAAACAACCCCAAAACCAAACCCCAGCAGATTAGGTGTGCCCAGAATTGCTGTATTGAGCCCGCAGCCCCCAGCTGATTGTGAATGTACTTCCTATGCAGCAGCTTCTTTTTCTCTCCTTATGTTCTATCTGCCTTGGCCTCTGCACCTCACTCCTGCGCAAAGCCTCCTGCTTGTGATGAATTGCTGCTGCTGCTCTCCCCAGCTCTGCTGTTTCTGCTCCTCTGGGAGAGATTAGTAGGTTAATTTATGTGAGTCCCTTGCAGTTTCCGAGATATGGTAAATTCCTGGACATTTTATGGCACAATCCTTTATTTATCCTTCCATAATTTTAAAAAATACTCTTGCTCTGTTTCCGTTTGATTTTGTATCTGGAGTTGGGGTTGACTTGACTGTCACTTTAATGGTATGTGTCTTTATGGGGCTGCCTTTAAGAGGGCTGTGCATGTATTTGTGCTCACAGCACACATCTGTCAGGAGAGAAACTATTTCCTGGTTGCTCTGAAAACTAGCATTTCATGTGCTGTTTTTTGTTGCTGTTGAATCTTGCATGGGTGGTGCATGGGATTAAAATCATAACTGAGCTTCCTTAAAGCACATAAAGGAGTCCCCAAAGCTGCTCTTTGCAGGACTCCTCACATGCATTTGGCTATTGAGCAGAGTGCCTTCAGAAGCATCCTCCACAGTGTGGTGCAGAGCTTTCCATGGCTCCCAGAGTCCCTCCATGACAGCTGTCTTCAGGAGACATGCACTTCTCCCTGAGAACTGGGAGTTAGTAAAGCCATAAATGCCAAACTCCAAGTGCAGCGCTGCTAACAACAGTGCAGGCTTTTGCACAATTGGTTTTGCTGTTTCAGTTAAAGGAAAGTATTACCGTTTTGTGTCTTCCTGGGGTTAAGTATATGGGAAGGGACCTGTGTTGGCTGCTGGATTGAATTTTGAACATCCTGGCAGATGTTATCCTTCCCAGGTCCTTTACTGGAGCATCTCTCCTATGCAGACAAGATGAAAGTTGTGTTTCTCCAGCCTGGAGAATAAAAGGCTCTGGGGAGACCTTAGAGCAGCTCCAGTGCCCAAAGGGGGCTGCAAGAAACCTAGAGAGGGGCTTTGGACAAGGGCCTGCAGGGACAGGACACAGGACAAGGGGAATGGCTTTAACCTGATAGAGGGGAGATTGAGATGAGCTCTCAGGCAGAAGTTCTTCCCTGTGAGGGTGCTGAGGCGCTGGCACAGGGTGCCCAGAGAAGCTGTGGCTGCCCCATCCCTGGCAGTGTTCAAGGCCAGGTTGGACACAGGGGCTTGGAGCAACCTGGTCTAGTGGAAGGTGTCTCTGCCCGTGGCAGGGGTTGGAGCTGGATGAGCTTTAAGGTCCCTTCTAACCAAAACCAATCTGTGATTCTGTAATGAACAGGTGACACAACTGTGCATGTCTTATGGATATATTTTTTAATGATGTTGGGATGCTCCCATGGGCAACTCTGAGGTGCTGAGGCAGAAAAGTGGAGTAGCACAAAAGGAAGGAAGACAGAGGGTATCTTATGTGGGGAGGATAGGGTCAAATGTGGGGATCATGAAGGGGGCTGATGCAAAGTTACCAGGAAAAGTTGGAATTACGTGGAGGAGATGTTTTGTAATATAGAGGCTGCTCTGTCTGCATGGGACGAAGCCTTAAATGATATAAATTAACACATCTGCACTGACTTCAGTAACTCTAGACCAGCTGGAGATATGGCCCGGCATGTGCTTAAGTTCAAAGCCTTTGCCGTTTCTCATTTCATTTCCTTTCATTCCAACAAATCCGTGAGTATCAGACAACTTACAGCTTTTCTGGCAGCAAGGCAGTGTTAATTGTTTGCAGCAAATGGGTTCTGGGAAGGTGTGAACCGGGCTCCGCATTGCTTGTCCGTATGCCTGTGTGTGGCAGCTGTACTGAGCAAGTGTCCTGGTGAGACCGGTGTAGGTATGGCTTTGCAGGGTGATCTTACTCTTCACTGTGAAGGGAAAGGCACCCCCATCCTTGCAGCTCATTGACTCATGTCGTGCTCTTGTTGCTACAAAATCTCTGGTATTTTCACTGAAGTTCATTACCGGTAAGCGAGGCCCAGCTCTTCTGTCACCAGAAACAGAGCTGCTTTTCCCAGCAAGACAAGCCTTTGACTCACTCATCCTCTGGTGGGATAACCTTCTAAAATAGTCTTAGTAACCTGAGTCTTATCTTAACACCTGTTCTGATCCTCCTGTGTGTATTCTCAATGTCTTTATTCCTGTTTTTCCCTGTTTTCTGGCTTGGCTGGGTTCTGTTACTGCATCGTGGGTTAGAAAAACTTCACTAGCTGTGAGGATTCACACAGTCAGAGATCTTGAAATGCATGGCATGGGCTCTGTCTTGCTCTGAGATCTGTGGTTTTCCAGTCACACACACGTGAAGGCTGAGCTGTCAGGTCAGCAGTGTCATAAGCTGCAGAAGTTCACAGCGAGGAGATGCTTTATCTTGGAAGAGTGGGATGTATGGAGAGGACAGCAATGTCAAGGCTGAGAGGTCCTGTTCACGCATGCTCTGCCTAGGTCTGAGGGCTCTCCGGTGACTCTGGGTCAGTAACCAAAGTGATGTGATCTCTGCAGGCATGTGCTCACCGCTGGAAGAACATCTACTATGAGACAGAGTACATCCTGCCTCATGGCTTCTGCAACATCATTCCCCCCAACCTGCAGCCCAATGGGAGGAGGCTGTTTCCCTGCTATGAAGGTAAGGAGTGTGGGAATCAGGAATGGGGCTTACCTCTTACCTCCCTTGCAGCGGTCTCATTTTACAGCTGCTGTGCTTTCCCTTTATTTCCAAAACCATCCACAATAAACCATCCACAAATAAATCACCCAAAATCATCCACAAACCACCCTCACTACCGATAATACTAATGTTTTGGTAACATATGGCTGCCTTGTGGCACAGCTGGGGTAATGGTGGGCTTTTGAATGAAGTTGGGTCCTGTGACTTACGGTGTGACTGTAAAGTCACACACTTTACTAGAGGAATAATATGTTTCTGAGCTGGTTTTGACACAGCAGCTCTCTCTTCCCTTACGTGAATGACCAGGAGATACTGATCTGAGTTGGCCATGGCACACGGTAAAAATCCTGCATTGCGTTGCAGTCAGCAACCAATTTGCCCATCTTATGAAAACACTTTCAGTTTTGTGTTGCCATTTATCAGAGGACTAGAGGGGGAAATAAGGGTTGCTTAACACCTTGCTCCCTTTGGGGAACTTCTGCAGCAGTTTATATTAAACTGCTATTGTGTTTCAGGTGCCATAAGGTGTTTTGGTCCTTGTTTGGATCCTCCGAATGTCTGGTCTTGGGGAGCATGGAAAGGGAAGGCTCCAGCTCTGAGCAGGTGTGACTGTGCCTGCTGGTTCTACTCCAAATCCCAAGTGTCAGCATTTTAATTTTCCAGCTCTCCGGTGCATGTGAGACTCTTTTGTCATGTTTCCTTTCCTAAAGACTGCAGAAGACAGCATCTCCTCTGCCAAGAGCAATTAACTAAAGCAGGGGTATGAGTGTGTTGTCAGGAAGAAGACAGGGTATCTCCTAAGATTCCTTGGCCTTCAGAGAAGCATCTGGGGGAAAGCACGGCCTTGGTTTCTCCTGTGTCCTGGGCATTGTCTTTCCCCTCTTGCCTGTAGGAGCCTGAGGAAGTGTGGTCATTTGGAGGCCAAGACACAGCAGGGTTTGTTGTGGGTGAAACCTCTGATTGTATTTATTTATTTATTCACTTTTATTAATTCCCCCTACCCCATCCCCATCCAAAATTGGCAGCAGCCAAGAGCAGGCTTGCTGCTGACATTAGTAAGTGGGAGAGGGATAAGGATGTCCCAACAAGTTTCTCTGCTGCTGGCGAGCGGTCATGTACCAGTGCAGAACTGGGTCTGCTCCATACCCCCTTTTTCTCCTGAGCTGGCTCCTCCAGGCTTTACCCTGGGACTTGCTACAACAAACCCACGCAGCTCCTGGAGACGGCACACAGCTTCAGGGCTGTGCGTTTCCCAGCCCTGAAATCAGTCATTATTTGTAACGTAAGGGATTTTGTATCTCATCTGCAGCAGAATACTTTATGGTCAACACACATGCATGGGGATGCTGCTTGGGGCTCTCTCTGAGCCTGTGCCGCTGCTCTTGCACCACCTTAAAAGCGTCTTGCCTGAGGCTGTGGCCGGAGGTGGTTTCTGGAAGAGGTGAACTGCTTGTGTTTTAGAGTGCGTCATGTCTTCAGAGTAAAAGTGCTGCTAATCTGACAGGATATTTGCCAGGAATTGCTAGAAAATAGAAATGTGTGGGCCCAGAACACGCAGAGCAGCCAGTGGAAAGTTGGCAGGGCTGGTGCAGTGCAATGTTGGCTTAATTTCACTCCATGCTAGAGTGAAAGTGGGAGGCTTGGGACTGATTTTCTGCCCCCCCCATCACACATGAAATCATGAAGTATCACGAGGGATGGCTGCGTTTGTTTACTCCTGTTTCTTTTAGGTTTCAGTAACACAAGCTCAAAGAGAGAAAGCCGTGCTGTGTCATGCAGAAGGATTCTTTGTTTGAGTCTTGCTGTGGAATAAGATTGCAGTCATCCTTGAAACTGTTTTCCTTCACAGCTAAGGTGATAAGCCCTGTGAGAGGCTGGTGTGACTGCTGGTCCACATGGTCCACAGCCAGAGCTGGCTCTCCATACTGGTGAAGGGTGCAAGCCAGTTGAGTGGGCATCAGTCTTCATCCATCTCTGTATATGTGTGTGCACCTTGGGATGGGTTATTCGTTTGTATAACAGCAGTGTTCTGCCAGCAAGGGAGAGGAGCCTGACTTTGGGGCGGACGTACTTAATACACACAGTATGTTTTCTCTACATGTAAAGCGGGCTTAATAATTAAAAGGCAAAGGAGGAAATGGAAATTTCCTGACTGGATGGTAGTGGTGCACCAACGTAGTCTCAATCATCTTATTCTTGTCCGGCTTCTCTGAAAGGGTTGACAGAAGTCTGGAAGCAGCTGAGAGCTAATGAAAGCAGCAGCAGGCCTAATACTTTAACACAGTCTCTCTGAGTAGGAACTAATCTGGTTTATACGATCTGGATGACCTTTGTGGTATAGCTGGCTTATGGAGCCAGAGTCTTCCAGGCAGTGCTTTCACTTGGTTATTTTTCCTGTAGTTTCAATGGCCTTCCAAAATAAAAGGGATCTGCCTCTTCATTCCCTTGGTGTATTCAGTTTGCAAAAAAGGGTGGCTGCATCTACTATGAGAGCCCAGCTGATGAGGAGAGCTGGGATGGTTTCCTGCTCCTCTGTGGTAGAAGTTGGTGGTGAAGGTGGGGAAGACTGATGGACCCATTGGTTAGTAAATAAGGGGGACAGCACATGCTCACATGCTTTGCTTCCAAAGGGACAAGCGAGGTTTCCCACAGCATCCAGACCACATTTGGTTTTCTGGGAGCCATCAAAACATCCCTGCTTTGTGGTGCAAACCCAATACCACAATGCTAGGTCAGAAAGATTACTACTGTTTCTTCCTAGAGTAGTGAAACACTGTGAGATAGGAAGGAAGAGGCTTCCAGTGCAAATGATAGTTTACTGTAACTGTCCAATTTTGCTTCCATCTGTGAAGATGGTAGATGCAGGATTTTATTGCACTCTGGAGCTTATGCTATGTTACGGCATTGAAGTTTGCTTAGAGACTTTAAGAGGTTTGCTCAGAGAAGTTGTTGAGGAGCATTTGCCTCAAGAATCATCACATATCACGGCTTATCCTTTTTGTTTTGTATATTGTTTTATCCAATTACTTCTTCCTCAGCCTCCCTTCTCTTGTAACCCGAGATCATCATGGCTGCAAACCGCTAGCGTATATTTCCTCTCTTTCTTGCTTTCCGTGTTTATTCATGGCACATCTTCAAAGTCAAGGAGGCAACCACCTCTTCCAGACTCAGCCTCATCTTACTGCTTTGCTGTTGGCTGTCGCCACAGCAGTTAGTTTAGTGGCTTGCGGTCTGTGTAATTGGGGGTGCGCAGCAGTCTGCAGCAGACAAGGAAGAACAATAAAGGAGTGTAAAAACAAAGGCTCTGTTCATGACAGCGGTTATTGCCTGGGGCTATGCAGAAACTACAGAATCCACTGCGCCCGGTATCTAAACCTCATGCAAATGTTGCTAGTCAGGTGTGCAAAAGCTGTGAGCTGGTGCAGTAATTGCACAACGTCCTGTTGGTTGATCGTTGATGTGTGGATGGCAGTTGTTTAAGTGATGGGTGTCACTGCTGTGCACCAAAGTAGAGGGGAAGTAGAAGCAATCTTGGTTTGCATGCCTTTTGAGCTCATCTGCTGCTTGGGAGAGGCAGACCAGCTCTAGGGAGGAGGCAGAAGTCTGATGCTGGGATGTGACCATCCACAATGGGGCTGCCCTGGGCTGTGATCATGGATGCATGGGTGGAAAGGAGCCATGCTTGGGTGAGGAGCAGGGCGTACATTGCTGTAGGTAGGAATTAGATGGGCTGACAAGGAGGGGTGCTTTAGTGCTTAAAGGATTATGCTGGAATCCAGGAGCCCTGTGTCTGTCTGGACTGGGCTGCTGCCACCATGGGGAGGAATGTGTCTGTTTGGCTCCCCCCACCAAAATGTGGTGCTGATACCTGCTCTGTGCCCATGGAGCTTTAAATGCTCAAATAGTCTCAGTGTCCGGGCTGTTTGGGACTCCGTGCTTCTGTTTTGTCTTGCAAAATGCCACTAAAGCTGTTTTTTCTCTCAGAGGTGTTAGGAAAAGCGATTAATCAGTTTGCGTGGTGTTCTCAGACCCCATCATGATGCGATGGGTCTTGATACTTGTGGGGAAGAAGGATGGTCATTGCTTTGCATTGCTGCTGTGTGTCGTGCTGAGCCACTGTAGAGAATCCATTTCTTCTTCTTCTGCAAGCTCTGTTTATTTTTCATGAGAAATATTGTCACATATTTATTCAAGTCAAAAAGTTTTGATGCCTTTTCTTCATTTCAGGGAAGCACTGATTATATCCAGACTTTGCATTTACTTGAAATGCTGCAATCCCATCTATCCACTGCTACAACCAAAGCATAACTGGTTATTTAAGTGAAATGTAAGGCCATTAGTTTGAGCAGATAGTAGTGGCAATGTAAACGACTCAGAACCCACCAAACATCATATAAAGCTGTGAACACTGTCAAAGTATGAGCTGCAGGGGACATGCCAACTCAGTTTATGTTACAATGAGCATTTAAACCACCAAATCTTTCCCATTTCTTATGCATTGCAGTTAATAATTTGGTTCATATAAAGAGTAATTGTTTTTTTTTCATTGGCCTGACAATGAAAACAAAAATGTGTATGTTTCTTTTCTAATACATATATTGCTGATGAATATCAGCTGTGTTGTGTTCTCTGATGTTGGGACTTTCGGTTTAGGTTACCCGTCAATCCAAATTGGTCTCCCTGTTTTTTTGGTTTCTACAGGAGGCAAAATTTATACTATAATAAAACATGCAGTGAATTCAATAACTTGTCTGGAGAAATGGTTTCATATTTGTGCATGCGTTGTTTTATCAGAATAAAATCCTCTGTTTATCCTAAGAAACGAAGCAATTTTGTATGTTTGAGCACACGCACATGAAGCTACAGATCCATCTATCACTGTTCTATGACTGCCTTGTTCCATTGCTGAAGCAGCTGCTATTCCTTCTGCTGTCCTATGGCTTTGCATATGTTTGCTTTTTTTTTGCAGCCAGATTCAGAGGTGAGCTTGAGTGATCTGAATCAGTTGCACCTGCAGGCCCATGAGGATGGGGCCTCTCAGTGGCTGAAGTTGTGTGGGGAGATGGTTTGGAGACATTCAAGCTGGGAAATCATAGAACCATAGAATGGTTTGGGTTGGACAGGACCTTCAGAACTCATCTAGTCCAGGCCCCCTGTACAGCGACATCTTCAACTAGATCAAGTTGCCCAGAACCATATCCAGCCTGGCACTGAATGTCTCCAGGGATGGCACATCCATCACCTCTCTGTGCAACCTGTGCCACGGTTTTACCACCCTCATTGTACAGTTTTTTCCTCTCATCCAGCCTGAATCTCTCCTCTCTTAGTTGAAAAGCTGATATCATGTTTGACGTTTTTACGTGTTGCTGAAAGATCCAGATCTTTTGTTGTGCAAGTTAAATATCCTACGGCAATTTTCCTCTTTCATTATAAAGCAAATTGAGCCATCTATTTTTTTTGAAGGGGATAATTAAAGAAACCATGACCTAAATGTAATACAATTTTATAGGGAAATACAACATTTTAAAACCATCAAATTGTCAACAAGGCACACTTGCAGTGGGTGGTTATGGGCCTGACACAATGAGGCATCGAGGCTTGCTCTCCAAAGAAGTGGGTGTGTAAGAAGTCTTCTCTCCTCATGTCCCTTGGGTGGCTTTTCAGGCTCCCTGATCGTCAACCTGAGCCCCTTTAGTATATCCTGTGAAGTGGGATTTAAGAAGGAAGTCTCTAAAGCTTTGAGCTCTGTCATTACAAAGGCCTCCTGCCTATTTTAGCAGGTAAGGCAGAAGGATACTTCAAGACCCCCATGGGACTAGTGGCATTTTGCTTTGAATTACACTAAGGTCAAGAGCACGACTGTGAAGAGGCAAGGTCTGTCCACGCTTCAGAACATTGTGTAAAGGAAAATCCTTGGATTGGAGTGAAAGCATGTGAATGGGATGGGTGTGGAAGTTGGTGCATTTCATCCTATGCAAGGGTGGGAATCCAGCTGTAGCGAAGGCAGTGCCTTCAGGATGTGCACAACATTATTTTGCAGGAAATGCCAGAGGGAGAAGCCTCATCTCCTCATCTCACTGCATAAAAAACGTTTGTATCAATAAGCAAATACTTTTTTCCCAGGCGAGGAGTGCCCAGCTCTGTGAGAGGCTGTACATGGAGAACTGGCAATTCAGAGCCCCAGCACTTTCTGAGTAGCTGTGAGCAAATATAGGCTTCATTTTTCAGTGGAATTGTTGTCGTGCATTCCCACGAGGGATCTGAAGTGTGCTTCTGGCCCTCCTGGTCTGCTGGGACACACATCTGCTTTGGCAGGACCCTGCCTCAGCTAAGGGCGTCAGGCATTTGGGCTGTAATTTGTGGATCAAGTCACTGTTGTGCGTGGTCTCTCCAGTTAAACCTCTCCCTGTCCAACTAGTATGACCTCAGCAAATTCCTTAAAATCTGAGCATCTTTATAATGGTAGGAAGAGCCTATATATAATATATAAAGGGGGAATGGGGTGTCTGTGTTTATGTGTAACATATCTGTGCTAAGGCAGCAGTTTATGATTGATTCCTTTTGATCTTCAGTAAAGTGCAGCTGAAAAAGAACTTGCTTGGTTCCAAAGAGGTAATTTGCTCATTGATTTCATTAGATTTTATTTTTTTTTTTTTTTTAGCATTTAACAATGAGTTAATGGTGCTTACTTAACAGAAAATAAATAAAATTCACAATTACCAGGCTCTATGGTGGATGGTTTTGGGATGTATGGAATATGCAGGAAGTAGCAATATGCTGAAGCTTGGCACTCATTAATATGGTAAATATGTGGAAATAATGCTCTGGGGAAAAAAACAACTGTGAAGGTTCTGATCTTGCTGGAAGTTTCAAATGTTCCTAAATGGAAAATGTTTGGATTAAAGGCAGGCGGAAAGTGATTCCCCCACCATGTATTTCTATAAAAAATATTTTTTTCCTCTTCTGCAAAAAGAAAATTCCTCAGGTTTGAAACATTTGCTACATAAAATACAGAAACAGAAACTATGCTGATTCGATCCCCCGTGGACTGGGAGCTCTGAGCGGATGACCATGAAAAGCAGCAGACCCCAGCATCCCCCAGATAAGGCTGTTGTCTGAGTCAGTAGCACACAGGCATGTGCGTCACCTTTTATTCCTCCCTTCCCAGCTGTGCTCATCTGGCTAACAGAGGCACCTTTACTGGGGTGAGGCTGCAGCTATCATACTGCTCTGATACTGCTTGTTTAGTGTCTCCCTGTCTGTGCCCCCACTTTCAGGCCACTTGCTTTGCCCTTTTCTGTGGGTGAGAATGCTGCCATGGTGCACACTGGTGGCACATCCATTGGTAAAACCCAGGAGCCCTGAGTGCTGGTGTCTCCCCAGGCTGTGCATTTAGCGATTCAGACCGCTTGGGTGGAGAATGTGTGCTGTGCTGGGGATGACCATGGTTTATTTCTTCCCTTCTTCATCCAGAGTACAAGAAGAAGTATGGGGAGGAGCACGGCTCATGCCAGGCAGGGATTGCGGGCTTCTTCACAGAGGTGAGCAGGGGCGAATGCATGGAAGGGATGGGGTTGGTGAGCAGCTCTCCTCCTGCATGACCCAGGAGGGCAGCACCAGGCATGGCTTGGACAGAGGGCTGAGAGCTGAGCATTGTCCCTTCCAGCCAGCACTCTCCTGCATCATCCAGCCTCCTAGATACCTGCATCTTGCACCACGTTTGCCCAGTGGCTCAGACATAGGTCTGTTGGTGATTCAAGATCTGCAGACAAAAGTGAATGAATTGACTCTGAGAAGTGTCCTCGGGGAATATTTTTATTGGGTACATCCCAAAGCTTGCATAGAGATATTTCTGTACCTAATATTAACTCTTTAAATAATGATGTAAACCAGTTCTCCTTAAATGGCTTTGTTGATGTATGTGGGTATATGTATCTATATATATATGTTTATATATACATCCGTAAGATAAGCTTTTTTTTTCCCCACTTCTGCTTCAGTTCTTTATTGCAAAAAGGTGGAGAAGAATTAAAATGGTAAAATATATGCTCCAGAGCTGTTCTAGATAGTGGACCATAAACTACTGTCCAGGAAAGAATATCAGCAATGTTTTAGTTATGTCAAGGATGCATTTGTTCCCTTATGTATGTATTGATGTCCTTTTATAATGTTTTAGTGTTGGGGTGTTTTTTTGTGTTTTGTTACTGTCTTGTCAAGTATATACCTACCCCTTCTTATATATGCACAGGTCTGCAGAATTCATTGTCTGGGCTGATACAAGCGGGATACAAGTGTGCTCTGTGAAATGGCAGAAAGTGATTTCCGAGTAAAGTGGGATGGCAGGCGATGTTGCCACAGTGGCACTCTGATAACTGGATACTGAGACAGCAGCAGCTGTTTCCTGCCTTGTCTGCTCTTTCCAGCCTGTTTCTGTTCCCATGCTTTAAATCCTCCTTTGCTACCCTGGTTCAAAAGATATCTTTGAACTTTCATTGCTTCAACCTGATGGCAGCTCACTGAGCAGGAAATGCAGATAAATGGCTTTTTGGGTCAAACAGGCAAGCCCCTACCGTATATTCAGCACTGCTGATGGTAGTTGTTCCTGCTGGCAAATGATCCCTTGACCTCGAGGGCATGGCCCCTCCCAAGTTAGAAAGCTGTTGCCAAGCACGTTCTGCTCTTGGGTTGGGTTTTCAGTCCTGTCCTTATTATTCCTAATAATAGTCTTATTAGGAAAATCCCTCATTTAACATCTCCTCCTGACTGGAACTGGTTGCCCGAAGGGCTCCCAGCTGTGGGAGCATTTTCCCACAAGGATGGAGTCCACTCATGGCCTCGCATTGAATGGAGATGTGAGGCAAAGCAGCTGTCTTCACTTCTCCTCCAGGGGTGAAGAACTTACCTAGACTTAACGCTCCCCAGGCTTAATTTGGTCCCTTGCTGAGGGTAATTAAAACCACATTTAGGAGTACGGTTTTCCTGCAAGGATGCTGGATGCTTTGGGGCAACGTTTTCTCAGTCTCTCTTGCAGGTAAATATACCTTGAGTTTTGCTTCAAAAGCATTATTCATGAGCATTTTTCTTTGGATACTGGGTCAAGCTTTGCCAGATTTCTAGTCTTTTGAAATCCTCAATCAGGCTGGGTGATCCTAATGAACTATAGCCAGGTTGTCGCTTGAAGAGTAAAGCATACCTAATGACAGAGCAAGGCAAAATGTACCAGCCATCATGTAACACAACCCTGTTCATTGAGTGCATGGCAGGTCTTTAGCTTCATAGTTGTAAAATCAAAATCCTTTGTGCTGCATCCTTCATGACTGGTTAGTGTAGCTTGTCAGCCAGCATCAGGGCATGATCTATAGCTGAATGGTGGCTCTGGGTGGGCTAGGGCACTTCTGTCTCTTGGGGAGGGTCTTCAGGTCTTCTGGAGAATGGCTGGGAAAGGCAGCAGGTGGAGAGAGATTTTTGGGAGGACTGTGTTATCAGGGATGAGTTTGATGGTTGGTAAGGCTGAAGAAGGCCTATTGAAGCAGCAGGACAGCTGAGCATAAAAGGACCATAAAAGGGGAGACCATGTGTCTCTAGGGTGTGTGCCGTGACCTCCGTCTTTGGAAAGGATACACACAGAATGGAGACTGTTATAGATGATCCTGCAATTGGTGTTTTAAGTTAATATCCCATCCCTTCTCCGTTACCGTGTAAAACATGAATTTTTGTCCAGTTTTGACCATTAATTATGTATTTCCCTATCCTTTCCCTCACACCTTTCTGTTTTTCCTGTTGTAGGAGCTGGTCATCATGGGTGCACCGGGATCTTATTATTGGACAGGAACTGTCAAAGTACTGAATCTCACTGACAACACATATTACAAGCTAAACGATGATGCCATGATAGGCAGGCGGTACACATACCTTGGTAAGCAGCACTCTGGTGCTCAGTGTGAGAATGGCTCAGTTGAACAACAGATTTCAGGGCTTTGGTGCTGTAAAGTTGATACTGAACGTGCATTCCAACTGAAAAGCAAGTTGGATGGTAGTAGGCCTCCTACATTCCTGCCTTTGCCCTGTGATGGACAAACTATTTGTCAGTGGTTAGGCTGTGTCTGCTTACACCAGACTTTAAAATGGGTACAACACACAGTTACAGAATGTATGTTGCAGACACAAATTAATTTCAACAAAAATAGCACCACAGAAGTGAGTCATTAGCAACAGAAGATTGTGAAAAGATTGGCTATAGGTTCGAGTACATCTTTAACTTGCTTGGTTTTTCTTGCTCTAAAATCATCTGATGTCCTAAAACACTTAACTTAAAGCCTTCCACTTAATCCCCAGTGCCTAAGACTGTTGAGACCTAGAAAGCTTTTCCAACAGTCAGTAGTTTGATATTGTTTGACTAAAGACTCACTCTGACCTCTCATTCTCCCATTAACCTTTAGTCTTTAAAAAAATACCACTTGGAAGATACTGTTTGGTGATAGCTAAATGGGAGTGTATATATACGTATTTGAGGACATAAATAGGTTTTGGCACTGATAAGCCTGAATTATAGTGTTACCATATAGACAAGAGCCTCATAATTTACCAGAGATGAGCAAGGCAAATACAAGACAGCCTTAGAAGGAAAGTGCTTTACCCATCTTTAGTTATTATATATCATTTTAATATATCAAATAAGACTGAATCTTTGATCTGCTTTTTTCAAACACAGTTTCTTTCTTTGATCTATCCTCCCATTTTTCTTCTTACCTAAACAAAAATCTCTTTAAGCCATTAACATCTCTGACCTCTTTGTCCACTGTCCTCCGCTCGCCTCCCCCAACCAAAAAGGCATGTAATTTTCCAAGCCTTCCTGGGCAGTGATTTTAGCCAAAGGAGGACACTTCAGTCTGGTGGATGTGGGACTGTTGCTCTTTGATGTGATACTTTCTCTGCAGTGATGTGGTTTCTTTGCTGTGTTTGTGCCTATTCCTGTCTTATTGCTTCCCTTTCTGGACTCACAGTTACCAAACTGTTCCCTGTACCTGCATCGTGTGTCCCTCACCCAGCTCCAAACACCCCTTTCTTCTCTAAGCTTTCAGAAGGGTACTGGGGGACGTACTGTCACTTCATAGAACTCTCTGCAACTGCCTGACAGGAAGATGGAGCCAGGAGGGGGCTGGTCTCTGCTCCCAAGGAACAAGTGGTAGGACAAGAGGAAACGGCCTCAAGCTGCAGCAGGGGAGGTTTAGACCGGATATTGGGAACAATGCCTTCTCTGAAAGGCATTGGAACAGGCTGCCCAGAGCAGTAGTGGGGTCACTGTCCCTGCAAGTGTTCACACACTGTGTAGACGAGGCCCTCAGTGCCATGGGTTAGTGGTGGCCTTGGCAGGACTGGGGAATGGTTGGACTTGATGATCTTAAAGGTGTTTTCCAACCTACTTGATTCTATGATTCCCAGTGCTGTGAGCTTTTGAGCAGAATATTGGCACATCCTGAGCAGAATGTTGTTGGATGCTAACAGTGTGCAGCCCAGGAGGAGCAGTGATCCAGATGGCTGACCTGCTTGTCAGGCTCTTCCCTTTCATGGTTATTTACTTATTTATCTTGTCCCTCCTTTCCCACCCCATCTCCTCTCTCAGGATATGCAGTGACAGCAGGTCATTTCTCCCAGCCGACTAGCACGGACGTTGTAGGAGGAGCTCCCCAGGATGGAGGCATCGGAAAGGTGCGCCTTTTTCTCAAACATTAATGTGGTCAGATGCAATGGGGCAAAACCAGCAGTTTTGGTACAGTTCCCACATATCTCAGAAGTCAGGAGATTTTTGCGTACAGGGCAGTTTTGGAGCACTGAGCAGAGAAGAGGTGAGGTGTTTTGGTGAAGTCATCAACCCCCTCTTCCCTTTTTCTCCCACCCAATCCTTACCATAGTTACTTATAACAAGACATAGGAAACATTTCTTTCACACTGCTGTCGTTTAGGATTTTTAATGTATAGGTATCACTTAAACCTTGCCTGGAAATGAAAAAACCTTGGAAAAAAGAGTTTGTCTTCTGCTTGTTTTCTTCATACATTTGACTATTTCAGTACTTACTTCAGGGTAGCATCTCTAAGTAGCATGAAAAGCCATTTTCTAGGTGATTTGTTCTCCCTCTTAAAACTTCATAATATGTTGAAGTTTAGTGGATTAGAATCTGGGTTTCTGCCAGCTGTGGTTCTAAATCTTTGTGATTGATATTCTCTTGGGAAGGGAAAAAAAAACCCTATGGTTTTCCTGTAGGCAGATCTATGTTTGATGTCCCAAAGATGTAAGCAAGTGAATGGCTAGATGGAAATGGCTGGTGAGCTAGGTGCGCTTGGTGTTCCTGTGATGAGTAGTCAGCTGCTATCGGGGCAGCCAGTTGAGAGTGAGCACTGTGACCCTCATACACCTCTGAAACAAAGGTGAGAAGAGGGAGAAAAGCGACATAAAGTATCTGCTTTTGTTCCTTTCTTCAAAATCCAAACCTCTGGGGACCTGCTGTCACCATGTGCTTGAGCAGAGATGTCCTGCAGCCGCCTTCCATCTTTGTCCTTCTGGCTCTTTTCTAGAGGAACATGAATTGGTGTGGAGTGTCTCCACTACCATGAGGAGAGGTCTCCACTACCATGAACACTATCCCTTGGTTTAGGCAGGTTATTTCTAGTAGTAACCGTGTCCCAGAAGGTAGTAGCACAAGTGGAGAAAACAGAGTAAAAGTAGAGGATGAACTTGGTACATTACCTGATCTGGCATGACTAGGATATATGGGATATAGTAGCAGCGCAGTTGCTACTGAGTGGACATGCACACACGAAAGACATGGTGTCATTATCAGGTGCTCTGTTATGACTGCTCCAATGCACCTTCCTTCCAACCTGTTTCCTGGTGGAACAGATGTTATTTCTGTACAAGGAGGGAGAAAGAACCAGCTGCTAATGTGAGATCCATGAGAAAGCACCTGCTGCTATAGTTTAAAAGACTGCTGCTCTAGTTGTAAAAGCTCCTGTTATCCTCCCTTGGCATGGGATGTGGGTAGCAGGAATGCATGGCAAAGAGACTATAGGAGGTGTTGAGTACAGGACATTATGCTGAGGAGTCCTGTTGTGCTTTCCTCACTCTCTAATAAGCTAATCCTTTCCACTTCCCTGATGGAAAGTGATTAGCATTGTCACACCCTTTTCACTGAAGGTAAAGCCAGGTTCTTAATGAATGAGTCATTTCTCCAAAGTAAGCAAGAAAGAGTGTCATCAGTTAAGGCTGGGTTTGGAGTTGTGACACCTGGCAACATGCTCTTGCTGCACTGCAAAAACCCAGGGAGTCCTTTATATCTAGAGCAATCGTCTGCAGTAAATCTGTGTTGTGTTCTTGGCCGAGAACAGCTTTGAATTCGGTCTTGCCACCTATTAATAACTTGCCACATAATCAACTGTGTCAAGGGCTTGGCTCTGCCACGTGGCCTTGGAAGTGAGGATCCTCTGTCCTGCAGACTGTGAGCACCTGCTAGGAGGGAGGCTGTCAAATACTGGAGGAGTCTCAAAGGCTAACAGAGCCAGCCTTGCTGTCAAAGGGAGCCCCTTTCTGCAAGCCATACTTTTTAGGCCATAAATCTTGGTACAAGATCTGTTATAGAGCTCATATCAATATTTTTATCCCTGGGAGTTCCTGATTAAACAGTTTCTGCTGTGGAAACAAGTAATGAGTGAACTATGTTTTGAATAGTTTTCTGATTTACGGATTGTTTCAGAGAGAAACAGTGCAAATGCCTTGGGTGGTCCAATGGGGATTTCTACTCTGACCTTTGCTAAGGCATCGTGAAGTCTGCAGTGCAGTACGTGCAGGCATGTGTCCTTGAAAAAGGAAGGCTGGACAAGGGAAGAGAAGCAGGTTTTGCCTTCTCAGCCTTTTACCATTTCCAGGCAGCCTCCAGATGCCACTTGTTGGGAGTGACTTTACTACTTGCTTTTAAATACATAAATGTGCACCAAAAAATGCAGGTGACAAGATATTCAAGCATTTTTTACAATAAGAGGCCTGTGGTTCATAATGAAAATGGGGACCTCTATGTTTTGTCTTTTGAAAGAAGACTGAGCATTAAAGTGGTCATGACATTGGATCTTGGCAATAGCAATGGCCATGATCATGATTTAGATATTATTTAGGAAGCAACAATGCTGCACCATTATGTGAGTCATAGTTAGTATTGGTTAACTTTTTTCTTCCTCTTTTCAGGTTTATATCTTCAGAACAGACAGACTGTCAGGCTCTCTGGTAAAGATTTTTCAGGCTTCAGGGAAAAAGGTGAGCTTTTATGTATGTGTGTTTTCTTTTAAGAGGTAGAGAAGGGGCAAATAATGGCAAATAATGGCAGGGTCATCTCAGCGTTGTTTTTATTCCACTGCTTCAAGAGTTGTCAAGCAAATGCTGTTTCTTCTTATCATCCCAGAAGAGTTAAACCTACTGTGCAGATCAGTTGTATGCCCTTTCTCCTGTAGCAGTCATAACTGCAGTGTCTGCTCAATGCCCACATGGCTGACAGGGAATGTCTTGCTGAAAATTGTCCTAGTGGTTCTGTTTAGCCTCATGCAGCTGTAGCAGCACCTTCTGAGATGTGGGATGTGGGGTGCCCAGTGAGCCTACACACAGAGATTTCCTTTTAAATGTTACTGGGAGATGTGGGTAGCCTGGGACTTAGTGTGATACAAGAGCCCCAGTGTGTTTTCCTATGTGACAGGGGGGGTTATGCTGTCTTATGGAGGAGCAGCTTCATTACCTCAAGAGGTTGCAACTTACCCCTTCTCACCATGAATCAGTTCTGCCTTTTGCTCTTGATGAACTGCACTCACCATTAATTTTAGTGAAAGCTAGTGAGATCCAGCCCCCCCTCCACATGCAGTGTTATATCAGAGGGGGCAACAACTTGTGCTCTTCACTGGGGGCTTGCTGGAGATGTGTTGCAGGGGAAATGGACGGTATGTCTACCTATAGGTAACAATAAAAAGATCTTATTTGGGAATAACACAGTGAGGAGATGATATCCCTTACCTGGAGCTGCCTGTGTTCTCCTGGAAATACAGAAGGAAAAGGTTACTGGTGGCTTCTGGCTGTGGGAAGACCTGCCACTCTCAGACAGATATGAAGTGTTTGACTGTATCATCAAATTGGGACTGTTAGCATGTTTTGTTATTTTTTTCCCAACAAAACACACTCTCAAAAAACATGCCTGGAATGGAAGAAAACTGCAAGGCTGTGCAGGGGGATGGTGTCACTTGTATTTTAGGGCCTCTCCAAAATTTATCTTTCTCTGCATTAGCAGAATTGAAGACATCTTGAAAGGAAAAGACCTCCCAGTTCATCCAGGGCATCTCCTGTGTTTGATTGCTTCCTGTTCATTTCTTTCTCTGTTGACTTTTAAATGTCCCTAAGGATATGCTTCTAGAGAACTATTCCTCAGCCTAACAAACAGAGCTATCAGGAAGTTTGCAGCTCTCAGCCAAAATCTTTCCTTTTTCATTCAATTGTGTAATATGTAACTTGAACAATCAGTTATTTGCATCCTTCAAATACTTGTAGGCTGCCATCTCCTCCTTCCCTGCAGCATCTGTCTTCTACAAATTCTCTACAATGCAAATGAGAACTTTATTTGAAAAAGAAGGCCGTCCTGAATCACCCTTCTTTTGTTTCGTAATTGAAATATAACCAGACATGCTCAGCACTGAGCCCTGCCTGGAAATAAGCTCTCACAAAGTGCTGCATCCTTCTCGGTGGTACGAAAATTCATTGTTCTGGCATTCTTGTTCAACAGAAGTTTAAAGCAGGCCAGTTTCTTCCATCTCTTTTTTATTGCTGGAGGCTGAGCTAGGAAATCAAATAAGGAGAAGAAAAAGGAAAACGCAGTGCCTTGTTACATATGTTAAGTGAACAAACATCAGGTTCTCACAGCACTGTGAACTCACCCACACTGCAGGCATACCATGTTGCAGTCAAGTAAATAATAGCCTTTCCCTGAAAACTGCCTAAATACATAATGAAATGCTTCTCATATCTTCTTCTCCTTACCCATGAGAAATCTGTTGTAAAACCTAAGTGGATTAAAAAAAATAAACAAATAAAAAACCCACAAGGGAGCTTAAGCTACAAAATAACTGGCATCAAATGATGTTTGAGGTCTGACCTTAAACCCACACAAACACAGAAATCTGAAGTACAGACTGAAACTCTATCCTTAACTCACCCCACTATATATATTTAGCAGCTTTTAAACCTTATGGACTTCATAGAACAGAGTCGCTGCTGCCCATCTCCTGCATGCCTGGTAGCTCTTGCTGGTGCATCTAAATTTATCAGGCGTAGAAGGCCTGGGACCTACAATGAGGAATGTAAAAGCGTACAAGATAGTGATTCATTCTTTTTAACCTAAATAATGATTTCTGTAACCTCAATCTTTCCTGCTATGTAAACAGCTCTCAATTTCAAGTCAGAAGTGGTATCTTTCCAATTTTCTTGTGGAAGTTGCTTTTAATTTTGAGACTATGGTTTGTAGTTGGTCTCAAAGAGTATGCCTTGTGGTACCTTAGGAGAAGTGGATGAAGTAAGGGTGGAATATCATTCTTGCTTTTGGTCTCCTTCTTGTGTTTAAATGTGTTTTGAAATTCATAATCATAGAATCCCAGACTGATTTGGGTTGGAAGGGACCTTAAAGCTCATCCAGCTCCAACCCCTGCCATGGGCAGGGACACCTTCCACTAGAGCAGCTTGCTCCAAGCCCCGTCCAACCTGGCCTTGAACACTGCCAGGGATGGGGCAGCCACAGCTTCTCTGGGCACCCTGTGCCAGCGCCTCAGCACCCTCACAGGGAAGAACTTCTGCCTAAGAGCTCATCTCAGTCTCTCCTCTGTCAGGTTAAAGCCATTCCCTCGCTGCATGCCCTTACCAAAGCCCCTCTCCAGGTTTCTTGTACACCCTTTTTAGGTATTGGGAGACTGTTATAAGGTCCCCCTGAGCTACTAAGGTCCCTGAGTTATAAGGTCTCACCCTGTAATGTGGGTGCTGGTTGGGAGATTGTTAGCATTTAATGTTAACATGTATCAAAATTTAAGTAATGAAATTAATGGATTTCTTAAAGTTAAGCAGTTAAGTTTTATCAAGCAGTAATATCTGTAGACTGAAAGTGGCGCTTAGGTTCTTTGTGTATCCGCTAAAAAGCCTTTATTGAAGGTCTTTCTGTGTTAACTCACCTGCCTGTACATGAGAAGAAAGGCTATGATCAAACCCCACAACCAGTACTGCTATTTGAAGGTGACTGATACAAACAGGTACAGGGGAAGTCAGACCACAATCAAGAAGTAATTTTAGATGCCCCTTTTCATGGATATCCTACCCCTAGCCTATTTTTCTTTTCTTTATTTCTTTAACACACCCCCAGAAGATCTGTGGTACCCAATTTCAAGCCTCTTTAGGAAATCTGGTACTGGGCATGAATAATCACTTGCCAGACCTTGGTTTGGGAAACTTATTTCACCCCTTCCTGGTTTTAAGCATTTGACAAGTGAAAGCTCATATAAGAAAGCTCTTTAAGTGTCTCACTTAAGCGTGTCTCAGGGTATAAAGGTATAAATCTAATTCCTTTGTTAAAACATCCAAGCTGATGCACTGTTACGGTAAAGTGTTTAGTTCCTGCCAGAATTATCCCCATAGCTTTCTCTTTAGGAGTGCTTGCGAGTGATAAAGCAACAAGTCATCATTTGAAATTAAAACAAGAAAACACGCCTAAATGATTTCCTCCTGTGTGTGGGCAGATACTGAACGCTTTGTTGTGACTCGGCTTGGTTACAGATGGGCTCTTACTTTGGCTCCTCCTTATGTGCAGTTGATCTGAACTCTGACGGGTTGTCAGACCTGCTGGTCGGAGCACCTATGTTTTCTGAGATCAGAGATGAAGGTCAAGTCACAGTCTATATCAACAGAGGAAACGTGAGTATGGGCAGGAGAGGGCTTGGTAAGGGATGAGGGTGTGGGTGCGGGCAAGGTAACACTAGCGTCCTTCCAGTACTCCATGGAGAAACTTGATCTCTTAAACAGTGGGGCTCTGGATGCCTCTAGCAGAGCATGAAGTCACAGAAAACTCATCTGGTATCCTGGTTTCCCAGACACAGCCTGCATTCATCACAGAGCTGTGAATCTTTCGAGGAGGTCTGGGGAAGTTTCTGGTTTTATGTTGAAACTTGGTGGTATTTGTGGCTTTACATGAAGCTGATGCCAAAACCAAGTAGGAGTCAGCAGCTTTGACTGAGTTCCCTTTGTGTTTTGGGTGGTCAGTAAGACCTACAAATTAGAACACAAATGTCTGGGGACCTAGGAGACTTTGTGAAGAGAAACCAGAGGTTGAATTCATGTTATCTTTACGTTATGCCTAATATAGAGACTTCAGGGGAAGTTCTTATCAGCTGGTACTATTGAATTTCACATAACTGAACAACAGTCTTGGAAAAACCTGAACTTTCTTGCATCATCAAAACAAGATCATTCTTACGTTGTATCTATAGGAAAACAGTGGTTGTTTATGCATTATTAAATACTTAATATTCAGGTCGCAGTACTGCTGTATCAAACCAGGAGTTGTTATGGACTAAAATGAAATTGGTTTGCCTCACCAGTATTATGTGAACTTTAAGTTTGTTTATGCTAGGGTTACCATTCATCCCAAGTCCTATAGGCAGCATTTGGGAGACTTCAGTATCACTTCTGGTGTAATTTCGTTTTCTGTTATTACTCCTCTTTTAAATGAGCTTTACTTTTTCAGTTCGATCCGCAGGCTGTCCCAGCAGTGTGGCTGCTCGATCTCCAGGATAGGGTGTAGAATGCCAAGCAGATAATAGCCATCATTTCCTGCTTGCAGTGAGAATGTGCAGGAGTTCATTTTCTATCTTTTAAAAAGCAGTCAAGAAGCTAGTAGGAGTTTCTTGTACTCCTATGGCACAAATTACGTGCAGGAGCAATAGCTTGCAGGATGGTGGGGTTTATTTTGGGGTTTGGACATTTCAAACTCTGTTCCATTCTGTAAGCACCATTGCTTAAGAGGTTGCTGCATCAGATCAGAGAAACTGCTTCATCATACAAGCATGCATAGTGGCGCTAGATTTAATACACCTATATTTGCCCTTTCCTGTGAGGTCTGCAGAGAAATGAGTCGCACGTACAGGCCTGTCTCCTCTCTGTTGCATTTCAGTTTCTTTATGTGGGGTTTTCTTAAAGTCAGCAAGTCCCCACAGCCGAGTAAAAGATTTTATTACATGTTCCAGAGGGCAGTTTACTCTCATTCACAAAGAAAGCAAAACCAAACCAAACCAACCCTGGAGGTGGGTACAGAGTTACATTGCATAACTGAATTTTGTTTTCTTGTGGCAATGTTCCCTTCCCCTTGAGGTAAGACAGCAAGAAACTAAAGCCAATGTATCTGACCAGAAAGTGGGTGGGCAAGAAATACCAGAGCCATATAAAGCTTCTCATGGCACAGGAGTACAAAGCTTGCTTTTGAACTTTCCTCTGCCCCTTTATTTCATTAAATCTCTTCCCTTATTCTTCATTTCAGAAGGCTTTTTGGGGACTTTGCTTTAATCCTTCAGTCCAATACTTAAAAAGTTTTCAAATCCATTTGCCCCAATGTTCTTTGCTTAGGGGAAAATTTTCCTTCACTCACTGCAGTTTAGTTTGACTAAGTCTGGACTGAGGATTTTGCTCCTTGGATGTAATCTGCCAGTAGAGCGAGCCCTGGGCTGTTAGGTTTTAGGCATCTGGAAACCTTCATGAGCTCACCAAGCCCTATGACTGCATTTCGTTACATCACTGAGTTCAGTTAATCTAGCATTTTAGTTATATCACTTACACACTCCTTTTCATTCCCTCTCTCCCTCCTAACTGAAAGACAGAAGGTTAAAAACCCAAATAAATTAGATTCCCAGCACCTGGGTGATCTGTGTGCAACGAGGGCAAGAGTCAGGCTGCAGCTGTTCCCAGGTGCTTCCCACCACATGGATGGCTCCCATGGGAAGGCTTGCCTCATCCAGGGCTCGCACCATTTCCCTGACCCTGTTTTATTTCCTGCTTGCTAGGGGGTGCTGGAAGAGCAGCTGGTCCTGGATGGTGACAGCGCCTACAACGCGCACTTTGGGGAGAGCATGGCTGCGCTCAGTGACATTGATGATGATGGATTCCCAGGTTGGTGTGCTTTCTTCCTGAAATGCCAGCAGGACTGGTGGCACCGCTGGCCTCTTTTCATGGCTGAGTGCTGTGTGGCATCCATTGCTCCTTCAGAGCTCGTGATGAGGATAAATGTGCTTGCATAGGATTTGATAAAGCCTTTTGTAGCTGATTGTCCTTGATTTGGGATTAGTCCATGTCCATGCAGCTCGCACCCCAATCACATTAACGTTGCTTTGCTTTCCTTGCTGTTGCATTTTCTTATTCTGTGTTGTTTATAAAAGGCTTTAAATACCCATGCCCCGAGCAAAACCAAGGCACAGCTGAATTCTTTCTCTTTCCCACTTTTTATGTCTTCACACCTCTCCAGTTTTGATGACATAATCATGTTTCTTATCATGAAATGTAATTAAGCAGTAGCTTCTCACTCTGATAACGTGCTCTATTATTTCTTTCCTTCACTTTATTCTAAGCCTGCTCCTTTCGCAGGCTGCTCAGTGTGAGGCCCCATGCAGTGACAGCAATAGGTGAGAGCAAAGTGTTGATGTTGGCACCTTTTCTGCCTGGAATTCTGGCAACACAGATTAAGGACTTTCAAACAAAGGCTGACTTGCTCAGTGTGTGCCTGGATTTATTTCTTCCAGGCCACTCAGGGTGTGGTATCCCATTAAGCCTAACCCAGCCTCATTGCATGTTGCCCTCACAAATGATGGGCATGCTCTTCCTCTGCACTTGGACATGCGTTTGTATGTTCTTGCTGCTGCTTGTGGATCAGTTGTGATGATGGAGAGACTGTGGAGTGAGCTGAGTCAGTCTGCTGGTAGGAAGCCATTGGGAAGATTTTAATTTTAGCAGCTGTATAGTCACAAAATCCACCTAGGTGAGGAGAATGGGAGGTGGGATCACTCTTCCTGAAGGAGTTTGCAGTTAAATTGGATCAAATACAACTTGAACGCGCATCCTCAGCAGCCTTTCTTTTTTTCTTTCTGCTTATCCATTTTGGATTTGGATTTTCCAGCAAACTTAGTGTAGTGTAGTGCTGCAATAAATGTTTTGCCAGTGCTATGTTGGCTCACAAAGCTGAGGTTCCCCTGCCTTGGAGATTTTGATATGAAGGGATTCTAAATTAACTTTTTAAGCATGGTTTCTGGTTAATAAACACACATTTTCACACACATAACATGCACGTGTTTCTAATTAGGCATAACATAGCCACGTGTGTAAAAATTCATATCCAGTTGTGTGGTTTTTAAAGTTTATCTTAACATGAGCTCTTCATTAAATCAAACAAGTTCCTTCTAGCCAGGTCCACATGAGCTGCTGATCATCTTCGTCATGGGGAGCTATTTTCCTATGGATAGCTGGCTTCTAAAATTGGGAAAAGGTTTGATTAATGGAATGGATCATGAAATGTTTATAATCTGTACTGTTTTGCAGATGTTGCCATTGGAGCGCCTAAGGAGGATAACTACAGAGGAGCAGTGTACATTTACCATGGGGATGCCAATGGTATTGTACCTCAGTACTCTATGGTATGTGACACTATTATTTGTGATATCTATCTGAAATCACTTTCCCAAGGCTTGCAGAAATAAACCATATTTAGGGGTCCCTTTATAAGTAGCCTCATCATAGCTCTACATCTTTTACTCAGTCCTAGTTTGAAGATGGCTTCTCCCAAAGTTTGTCCATATCTATGCTGTAGGGTAAAATTATGTTAGTCAGAAGATATTTTTCACTGTCTTTTGTTATGTTTATCAGCTGTAGCTTCCTTCTTTAAGCAAACGAAAACTTGGGGTTTGATGTCAGTTTATAGAGATAGTACTAGCACATAAGAGAAATGGAAACCATGGAGAGGCTGAGTGCACAAACTATGGAGAGACCAGTGGGGAGTTGGGAGGGTGCACTTCCTTCCTGCAGAAGCAGACGTGGTGAGAAGTAAGAGGTACTAAGTTTTCTTTGTGCCCTGCAGAAACTTCTTTACCCATCTTGTCCCTCTCTTAGTGATGTGACAATACATCACAAGGCTGTTCGTGGGTGCCATTTCACTGACCATTATTCAGTAAAATCTCAGCTAGAATACATTGTATAGCATCTTGTGCAGAGATGACACAGTACAATTTAGCTACTGCAGCCAAGCAGTACAGAACATAAATTTATGCTCATGCTGCACAACGTGTGTCCCCTAGGCTCTGTCTAGCACATTTCTTTATTTTCGGAGGGCCTGAATCTTCCCTCCTTCTGTGTGTTTGAAGTTCTGGTTGTTTTGTTTTGTTGCTGGGTGGGATCCTTCACAATAAATCAGTTCAAGCAGAATTTAGAAGTTTAGTGGTTGTATTGGAGACTCTTCTAATAGACCATAGAGGTTTAGTCCTTCTTCCTTTTACCACGTATATGCCATGTGCTGCTTTCTCTAAAAAAGAAGGGAAGTTAAATGACTCTTTATGGATACTTCTAAAACACACTAATGTGTGGCATATGGTGGATTCTACCCGTTTCTTGCAGAGACCCCCTGGTTGGGAGGTTCTTCTCTGATGCTGAAAAATCTGGAGCTTTCCAGCTTTCCTGAAAAGGATCAGATTTTCTGATTTTATTTTTTTTTCTTTTGCTCATTCATGGGAAAATGTTACATATTTTAATGAGGACAGATCAGCAGGGTGGGAAGCAAAACATCCTGCTTGTGATCTCTCCTTCCCCACTGGAGCAAGGCCAGCAGGCATGGCTCTGTGTGCCTCTCCACTTGGTCAGTGGGATAAAGCCCAGCTCAAGAGGGTGGTCATTGACCCTTGACAGCATTCCTATCACTGTCCCATGCCATAAGGCAGCTGAGAGAGCACCACTTTATGGGCAGGCTCTGCTGCAGGGCACTACGCACACCACACCACCGGTTCATCTCCCACATGCAACCAAAAGAGCTGTGTAACAGCTTCAGCTCTTTACCTGCCTGCCCTGGATTTGAACCCAAAGAAAGACTTTTTGTATCTTAATACTATGCCCCTGAGCCATCTTAACGCCCTGGATTTCCCTTTTTAAATAAGCTGAGAAAGATAGACAAGAGCCTGCTGGGTCTATCTTTTCACCATTTTCAATTTGTTAGCGTTTCACCCTTACTTTTCTTCATTAAGTTGCTCATTCAGTGTAGTTCCCTCACTTCCCTTTAGCAGCTTTAGTGGTGGCTATGAGCAGAAGCAGCTTAATTGGCTTTGTGGCCTGCTGTTTTTCATTCATGGCACTTAAAGCAGAGCAGCATTATACCTCTTCCTTCTAGGTCATAATAGCCAGCAGATGTCCACTGGGATGCTTGCAGGCATGATTTACCACCCTAACTGGGAGCCCCCCTGCAAGATGTGTTGCAAGTATAGTGCAAGGGAGGAAGTTACTTCCAGTGGTCTTAATCTTGTCTGCCCATGAGTAGGAAAAGGAGATCTTAAATGGTGGGGCACTGATTTCCCTTTAAACTGTCTGTCAGGACTGCGGGATAGCTTCTTTCCCTCAACTTGTCTTTTTTCCATGAATTTCCTGTCTGACCTTTTGTCCAGCATTATGCCCTTTATGGGAGGGCCAGGAAAAGCTGGTGGCATGTCGCAAGCTGTGAAGCACCACCAGCAGCCTCAGAATTACTTCATGGGCTAGGTTTCCTCTGCCTGTAACTTCTGTAGTCAGATGTTGATTCAAGTTCAGGTCTTGCACTGGTGACCCGGCATAATGAATGGGAGCTGGAAGGCATCTGATTGCCTTCTTGGCAAACGAGATTTTGATATGTTCATTTGCTTCAGACAAAGACATTGAGAATTCAAAACATTTAGAGAAAGTTTTTGTGTTAGTAATTAAAATAAAAAGGAAGCTATGTTCAAAGTTAATTAAGCTTTGCGTCGGGGAGGCAGAAATGAGATACAGCTTCCAAACTGACACAAAATATTGCATAATAGCTGATGGAAACCAGAGTTTCCAAGTGAGATGAAAATTAATCATTTTGACTTCGAGTACTCTGGCAAACTTTGTGAAAAGGAATGGTTGTGCAGGATTTTCTGCTTCAATTAATCATTAATTTTGTTAAGATGCCACTTAAAATTTGCACTTACAGAAATTAAGGATATGAGGAAAAAAAGCAAAACACGTGAATTCCATCTCCTCCCCCCAAACAAATTTGATGTGCTTTTTATTTTGCTTGGGTTGCAATGCAGGTGTGTTTTTTAATCCAAGTAAACACTGGCCTCCTCCTAGCCCAGAGCAGAAGGGCTTCCTGCAGTTGACAGCCTTCCTGCTTAGGGCTGCGTGGGTGAAGTGTGCAGATGTGCAGCACTTCCAGCACACAGGAAAGACTTCCAGTGACCATGAAAATCAGGCTTGAGGGGTTTTTTTAGGGTTTGGATGTATTTATTTATTTTTAGAGGATTCTTTGCGTTACTGATGAATGCCACTCGTGTGTTTTCTGCTGCAGAAGCTGTCCGGGCAAACAATAAACCCCATGCTGAGGATGTTCGGCCAGTCCATATCAGGAGGAGTGGATATGGATAGCAATGGTTATCCAGGTATGTCTGCTACTGGGGAAATGCAGCAACAGGATGAGCAAACAGTGGAGCTGGTCATTTCCAGGTTGCTGGCTCCTGCTGTAGCAGGAGGCTGATGAAGCTGAGCTTTTTCCTCCCTTTCCCCTCTGTTATTTGAAGCTCCTGTTGAGAATTTGAGGCGATCACTTAATTTATGTGTTTGGGCAGTCATGATACTAAAGCAGAAGATTCTTGTTAATCTGAGCTCACTGGTGATTGCCTTGCAAGAACAGCGCTCCCAATTTGTAGCTTCTATGACGTGTTGAAGTTTAGATTGGATGTAAGGAGGAAGTCCTTTACTGTAAGGGTGGTGAGGCACTGGAATGGGTTGCCCAAGGGAGTTGTGAATGCTCCATCGCTGGCAGTGTTCAAGGCCAGGTTGGACAGAGCCTTGGGTGTTATGGTTAGTGTGAGGTGTCCCTGCCCATGGCAGGGGGGATGGAACTAGATGGTCTTAAGGTCCTTTCCAACCCTAACTATTCTACGACTCTATGAAATCTGGACATTAAGAAAAGGCTTTTTGCTAAGAGGGTGGTTAGTCACTAGAACAGACAGCCCAGGAAAATGGTCACAGCACTAAGCCTGTCATGAGGTGCTTTTAATCAAAACTAAGTTTAGTTTTAGGTAGACCTGTGAGGATCAGGGAGCTGGACTCAATGACCCTTAATGGGTCCCTTCCAACTTGAGGTATTCTATAATTCTATGATTTCAGTATCTCTCTAAGGCTGTAAGTTTCTTGCAAGCTGCTCAGTCATGATGACAATCTTAAAACTAAAACAAACAGAAAGAAATGGAGAATAGTCATAATAATAAAAATCAAGCAATGAAGTAGAAGAGAAGTAATGTCACAGGCCTAATCCTCCAGTTATAATGCTTGTGACATAATGATGTTCGAGGGGACCAACTGGCTGATTTGAGTCAGGAAAATGCTTTTGTTTAGATGTGTAAGCTCTGTAATTTAGCAACTGATTTGAGAGAACTGAATCCTATGCCTCCTTTGTAACTGTTTTCAATGTTACAAAAATTTCAGATATGACTGTTGGAGCCTTCTTGTCAGACAATGTGGTACTTCTGAGGTGAGATGAACGTCTTTTTCATCTGCTGTTGTGTTCGTCTGTTTTCTGCTTATATCATGCACAGTCAAAGTCCTCCACCACTCCAATTTTCTGCCTGGTTTACTGTGTTCAGAAGAAGGAAGCTGGATTAGTTTTTAAGCAGAACCTCAGACATGGATAACGTCAGAGAATTTATACAGCTTAGTGAGAGATAATACGTAGGACAACCAGGGCTATGAAGAAAACAAAGGGTTAGAGCTGGAAGAAGATGTGTTGCATCTTAGTGCCTCCTTAGAAAGGTTGCTTTGAATGTGAGAGAAGGCTTTTTTATTGTTCTTACATTTACATAAAGTAAATAAATTATGATTTAAGGGAGCACAGTTAAGCAACAAGCCAGCTGTGTCAGATGCCAGGATGTAATTTTGCAAGTTATAATAGGAGTCAGAATGAAATAGGAGTCCTCAGGGAAATGAAATACAAAGTCATTTTCAATGCACACAGGAGTTTGGCTGCTGTTTCAAGTGTATGAGTTAAGTGCAATTGCTTGCTCCATCTGATGGAGAGAGGTGTGGCAGCTCGGTTCACCAAATTATGCAGGGGGAGAGTTAAAGTAGGAGTGGGCTTCAGATGCACAGACCTGGGGAAGGGAATGAGAAGTTTGAATTTTGCCAGTAGCTCCATTGTTACACTTGTTAATATTTAATAGCAAAATCCTGTCAATACCTAGATGTCATTAGAAGTCAAAGTCACTAGGGTCTCCTGCATCTTAATGGAAGGTACAGGGATGTGATGAGACTGCCAAGACAAATGCTGGAGCTGCGGAATGGCTGTGCCAGTCTGCTTCCTTCAAGACAGGAAAAACTTGACTCTGTTTCCATTGGAATTAGTTAAACAAAAGAAAAGAAAATAGGAGAGAGGGGGAGAAATGATCTTGATGGTCAAGTCTTCTGAAGAGGTTTCTGCTACTTTATCATGCACGTGTGCCTTCCTCAGATGGGATCTTGCAGACCCCATCCCTGAAACCACTAGCAAGAAAACTGTTCTTCTCCTGCCTTGTTATTTGCAGGAGGGGAAGGCTACCTGAAACGCTTGCTGTGATGTTTAAAACCACATGGATTGCAGCAGCATGGTGACCTCTGCCTGTGTGTTCATATTTGTGCATTTCAGAGGGAATTGGTACATTACGGATGGACTGTGGGTAGCCTGATTAATCACTGCTACTGCTAATTTGCAGTGTGTCCCTCTTTCTGTTCAGATAAAGAAGAGTAGGATAAAGAAATCGGCTTTTTCTCTTTTTCCCTCCTCATCCTTCTAGAAGCCTTCATGAAGTCCTTTTGCCAAAACAAACAGACGTTTTGCCAAGTGACATTAAAGGCTTTGGTGGAAGCCGTGGTGACTTGGGGCAGATCGTCGTCGTAGTGCTCGCGTGTTTCTATGGCCATTTGACAGAAGCACTGCTTTCTTCCCCAGTGAATAACCAAGTGAGCTAACATTAAGGAAAAATCACACAGTGCATCATGGCTGGAGGAGTATTTTTTCCCTAGGAGAAATGTTTTTCTAGCTCAGTTCATAGCATTTACTCTTTGTCTCCCCAAGCATTTGGAAAGTGGTTTATTTTTTTTCCAAAGGTGTGAAATGATCCTAGGAAGCTCACTCTTCCCTCCTCCCCGTTACTGTATATATTTCTAGGGTTAGCATTTATCTTCGTCCTCCATCTCAGAATATGAACTTACACTGTTATTGCAGGCTGTGGTAAAAGAGTCTGAGCAGCCGCCTCAGCGATGGATGTAAATCTTATTCCAGTCAGTATGAATTAGGTGTAACCTCAATCCCTGCTCTCTTCTCCCCCCTCTCCCCTGCCTCTAAAGTAAGTGGCTTATGGAGTGAGAGTCCTGAAGTGGTTTACTCGTGCGGTCTGGCCTTGCATGGCTGCTGGGACTACTTTAGAAGTGAATCTGCTGGTTGCTGCACATTTTTTTTTCACTACTGCAGTTAGTTTTGGAAGAACATGTTCACGTTGAACATGTACAGAATTAAAACCATGAAGAAAAACACTCAGTGAATTTTTGGGATGAAGCCCTGCTCTGGGGATGCTCGGGCAAGCCTGGGATTCTGTCCTGCTTTTCCCAACCAATCTGGCAGGGCTTCTGTGTTGAGTGAGAGAGGAGACCCACTTAGGCTCTGATGGCACTCGGCTTGCTCTGCAAGGTCACCTTCAGCTGGGAGTAGTCATAGCAATAGCCTGGTGCCAGAGTTGCAAGGGCAGAAAGGTTTCATTCACAGTGCACTGGGTAACTCCTGAAACACAGGTCAGAGGCTTCAAGAGAGGATTCAGTCCTTACCACTCACTTGAAGGGAATAAGCTGAACGTTCCCTCCTCCAGAAAACATGAATATGGTGTCTCTTGTCCCTCTTACATTCAGAAAAATTATGTATGAATTATGTATCTCCTATCCCTGTGCTTGCTCTTTGACTTTCAGGTAACAAATTTGATTGTAAGCCATTCTCTGGAAAACTGAGGTCTCCATTTACCTGTTCCTGACCATCCAGGCTGCTTAGCAAGCAGTCTCACTTGCATGAGCTTGTCCTTGACTGCTGTTGTGCTGCTAATTTTGTTATTTGTAATGATTACTATTATACATTATCAATTTCCCCAGCTGCCTGCCTGCAGTCTGCATCTGAGTCCTGAACCTCAAGCTGACATTACAGTTTTCACTCAGACACTAGTAGTCTTTGCCAGCTAGGACAAGTACTAATTTATGTTACAGTTCAAACACACTCTGTTCTTCGTGTCTGCCTCAAATTGTGCAGTTTATCAAATTTATGTGAATTTCTTTTGGCTGAAAACTTCCATCTGAATGATGGCTCAATCCCACTTCTCTTTGATCACCAGATCCAGGCCTGTCATTACCATGGATATCTCCATTTTCCTGCCCGTGTCCATCAATATCACAGCTCCTCAGTGCCATGATGGCTTGCAGCCAGTGAACTGCCTCAATGTCACGACATGCTTCCGCTTCAGTGGCAAGCGTGTTCCTGGAGAAATAGGTAAGGTTCCTGTGCCAGCTCTGGGAGGGGCATGCTAGCAGGTTGACCTGACTCCCTTCGTAGTCAGGAACAGAGCTTTGATGGGAAATAAGTCGTTTCGGGGTGAGCTGGACTATACAATTCCAGAAAGTTGGAGGGTCCCTGTTTTGGGCATGTTCTTACATGATGTAAGAATGTTCATCATGTTCAGCACGATGAGGCTGACATAATAATGGGGCAGTTTCTTCCTCAGTGAGAGGAAGGAAATGTGTCCTTGGGCTTCCTGCAAGGACGGAAAAACAGAAGCAGAAGCAAACAATGCTTTTTAAGTTCATATTCCCTGTTTACCTGTTTACCTCTCGATAACACATTTCTGTATTCATATCCTCTACCAACATTATCAGAAAGCAGGTGTGATTTGCTCTGGATTAGTAGCTTTTAAAAGTCTACAACAAGCTCTTGAAGCAGAGCACTATAAATCTGAATTCCTACCAGACATGAGCTTTTACATGTATTGGTTTACCTGTCTGTAAAATTATTATGAATAGCCCAGTATTTTACTGACGGCAAGACTATCTGCCAGGTTGGTTAGTCTCTTTAAAACACATAGGGTTTCTTAGGTGAACGAAACTGTGTAAGGTGTGGCTGCATTAAAATATTACTTATGTCTTTTACACGCCAGTGTTTACAATTCTTAGATAATGTGTGAAGTGGCATGGGATAGAGTGTTTGTAAATATTGTAAGGTCTGGGTTTATTTAGTTCAGCCACAATGTTTTATCTTTGCCATGCCTTAGGAATGGCATCCTCTTATATTCTCTTATAGACCTTGCTTTTATAGTTGCACTGGCAATTGGCAGTTTAGTCTTCTATCTACTAACACTCATTAATAGAAAAACTCTCCTCAAATACGGTCGATGCACAGGAAGTTTAGCTAATCTGAACAGTCCTTCCAGCCATTGTCCTCATTCTGCTTACCCTGCCATCCCTGCAAATCCTATGCATAACAGACGAAATTGATGAGCCTGACTTAACCCTAAAAGCCGTTGGATCCCCAGCCTTTCTGAACTGCTGGTCAAGAAAGGTGAGAGTTTCATATATGAATCCCAGTATGCAGATCCTGCTGCAGTGTTTGGATTTTAAATGAGTTGGAGAAGAAAAAGGCTTCTTGTTACTTCTTGCCATTCACATAGAGTGAGAACTACAAGCTGCTTCTGAAGTTGCTCTCTGCAGCTTGTCACTTTTTCACCTGAACAGCTTAAGGAAGTGGAGTTACTAAATTTAAGATTCTTCTGGATTCTAACATAGCGGTGCATTTGAGACTTCAGTTTCTATTTTTGCATGTTTTCCCTCCCTGTAAATGGTGACTCTCAGCAGAAAATACATGCTTTGATAAAGTGTTTTTTGTACTGCCTGTTACTCTGCCAGTTATCTCTGAGTGCTCCTTGGGTGCTAATTCCTGTCTGGAAATCACTGAATTGATTTTCTGGATATCTAGGTTTTCTTATGATCCTGGGGATACTGTTCAAAATATTTCCTTTGCTTTAATTTTGTTTCTCTGGACCTGCGGCTAAGAAGTGAGCTGCCTTTTTTTCCAGTCTAAATATCTGCTCCCCGTGTTTGTGTAAGGCCTCTCTTCCTCTTCTTCATGACTTGCAAGAGCCAGTTGAATTCCCCTGTGTTGTCATACAAAGTGTACCCCTGCTGATTTGTTGTGGTGAAATACACATGTGCATCTTCTTCAGCAAGTAACATCCATCTCATTATAAGGAATTTTTTTACTATGAAGTAAATTATTATAAAACTTCCAACCATTGTCCTTTAGTACAATGCTTCTAGCAAAGTGATTTGTCTTGAAAACTTTGCAGCCAGAATTATCTGACTGTATAAAACCATGTGGGGATATGATTTGGATAAAATACCTCAAGTAAGCTTTCAGTTTGCAATCCAACAGTCAGGCTATTTTGATTATGGTGCAGTTGAAGAGTATCAGTTAACAAAGGGTGGAACAATTCATGGAAATATTGCAATGGTTCCTCTCCTGTGGGTTAAATGTGGGGAAAAAATAGAGTATCCTTATGAATAAATCACTGTCCAGTTTGGACTGTGAAAGACATATGGAGCTGTTAAAATACTATGTCAAAGTGTTGCGATTGTCTCATCTTTGGATGACTGGGGTCAGCCTGATAAGTTAGAGGGTGAGAACACAGTTGCCATCAGGAATGCTGCTTCCTTAAGGCTTGTCAGTGTAGATGCTCAGGGCAGCTGCTTGCTGTCTGGGCGTTGCTCTTGCTTCTGGGCAGCTGAAGTTGGTCACCTACTACATAATGTTTAGAAAGCCAAGCTGAACAAGCAGGCAGAATTCTTCTGTGCAAATATGTGTCTTCAGTGCTCATTTGAACATGTAGTTGTTTTGTTAATGGGCACGTGAAAGAAAGTGTTCATTTAGCACTGCCTCACACTTGCATAGAAACCTTTCCCATGCAATGTAGTTGCAATACTGCGTTGTTCAGTGCATGGAGTAGGTATCTGAGGGTCTGTATTTATTGATACTGCTTGATAGTGCCAATGGCAGTATAATTCCCATCCATTTTCTGCATACTGTTTGCAGACTATGGTCTTCAGAGGTATGGATTTATGCTGGAATGTTTTTGTTTGAACAAAGAGACATGCCCAAGTGAAGCATGTGCGCTGTGCTGCATGCCAGGCATTGTCTGACCCGTCACTGTGCCTTGCCTCTTGCTGGGAGAGCTGAGCCTCTCGTTGTACTCCCACCAACATGACAGCCTCTGGTACATCTGGATGTGTGAGAAACATTTTAAGTTTTCACTCTTTCACCCTGGAATCTAGCTCAGGCTCTTTTCCCTCACTTGAATGGTCTTTGCCTTGTCTCCCCTGGGGTCTCTGTATATGCAAGAAAGGCAGGAGATGAGAGAAAGGCATTTCCTAGCCTGAGTGAGCAGCTTCAGCCTGTTCAGGCTGTGCACTTCTGGGTGAAGCAGACAGAGGCTGTTGACATCTCTGTACATCACGCGCTGATTCTGTGTTAATCCTTGCAGGAGAATGGAAGTAAACTTGTGGCCACAGTCTGGATCATTTCTTTTACAATAATGACAACAATGATAATAGTGCCAGTGTGAGAATTAGGTGAATTTTAGTAGCTATGAAAATGAAGGGGTTTGGGCATTTGGCTAGAGCTAGGCAGATGCATTAAAACGGCTTCAAAGTTTCTCCTATACTCTTCACTTCCTATACTCTACTGTTCACATTCAAAGACATGCATTGCTTGTGTGTTGATCCATTTCTGGGGTAGTTCTCATGTCCCAGATACTGTTGTCTGAAAAACTGGTGTGAGAGTTAGTGTGGGATAATAGGTTGGTTGATATTTGCGCTCTGAATATGTTTCTAGGATTGAAGAAACATGCTTGATCTAAAACCTGATGAAAGTGGACACTCTTCTTACCTGGATCCTGCTGTAGTTTGGTGCATGAGGAGTATTTCTGTCTGTGTCTCATATTCCCAGTCTGCTTGGATGCAGGCCTGTGTCAGAGCTACCCTCTGAATACCTCAGAAGCATGGATGCTGTAGAGATGTGTTTTTCGGTGTATGGAGCACCAAGGATGGCTCCCTACTTAGAAGCTAGGGACAACACTTTGAGAGAGGATTTGAAACAAGGTTTGAAACAAGTAAGGGGAAAAGGAAAGCTGCTTGGAAGAGGATGTGGGGAATGTCTTCGATATGTTGTCATTTGCTAGGGCAATTTTTGATAATACTTTCATTACTTAAGAATTTTCTCTGCAAGCAAAGTTCATGAATTATTTCCTCCTCATAATTACTGGTAGAGACAGTAAAGAAAGAAAGACATTCCTTTTCCAATAGTGTTTAGTTATTATTTAGTAAGTTCTTCATTCTCTCCATGTGGCGCCTCCACTTCCCTCCTCCCCCATGAATCAGAACTGTAGCTAGTAGTTTAAGAAGCACTTCTGGATGGGCTTATTCCTGCTGAGCATTTCGTTGCCTGCTTTTTCTGTGCTGTAGCATCATCTGAGTGGGCGATGAAGAGATGTGCCGTCTGGCTCAGGGTGTGTAACCCTTCCATTAACATAGCCAGCTGTGATTCCCATTTTAGCTCATGGGATACTGATGCCCATTTTTAATCACTCCTCACTCCTTTCTGCTTCAAGGCTGCCTTCATAGAATGGTTAGGTCGGAAGGGACCTTAAAGCTCATCTAGTTCCAACCCCCTGCCATGGGCAGGGACACCTTCCACAAGACTCTCACAGGGAAGAATTTCTTCCTAAAGTCTAATCTCAATCTCCCCTCTGTCAGTTTAAAGCCATTCCCCCTTGTCCTGTCACTACAGGCCTTGTAAAAAGTCCTCTCCAGATTTCTTGTAGCCCCTTTAGGTATTGGAAGACTGTTATAAGGTCTCTCTGGAGCCTTCTCTTCTCCAGACTTCTCCCTTCAGCCTGTGATGGGAGGAGTCTTGCATTGTGAGTAAGTATGTGCTACTTGGGGTGAAAATCCATTATGAAATGTCTGCTGCCAGTTACTTGGTGCATCTGTTACTGGTTGCAGTAACTCTCCTGGTCTGCTGGCTTGTGGTCCTCTTGTAGATAAGACCAAAACTTTCTCCTAGGGAGCTGCTATCAAAGCTTATAGGCATTTTATTCAGTTGTGGTTGTTATCAGAAGAATCAAGACCTTCCTCTGAGCTCATGCCAGAGTTTTACATTGATTGTGTGAAGTTTAGGCAGGCAGATGCCCAGAAACATTTCTAACCAGACTGGTTTAAAGCTGCTGGACAAATATTTGAAGGCATTAGCTGGAAGGGTTAATTTACTTGCCTCCCAGTCTTTTGCTGGATCAAGCAGGAGGAACTTAACCAGCAGTGCAAAGTTTGGTGAATGATCTCCCCCCTGGTTGCCTTTTGGAAAGAAGGTTAAAAGAAAAAATCCTTACTCATGGTATTTCAGTTTTTCCAGCGATGTGACATCCCTGGATATAACATAGAAACAAGTTGTCAAAATAAACAGGAGGCGGGGGAGAGGATGGGAACTGCACTGCTTGATTGAAAACATCACTGCTGTTTTGGAGAGGTGGTAGCTGGGGTGGCTTTGCTCAGACGACTGCCACGGGCCTCACACTGGGATGCATCTCCCTCCCTACCACAAGGAATTGTTCAGTGTCAGTAATACATCGTCCTGAGAAAAGGGCTGTGTCTTCCCATGGGGCTTTTGCCTCTGCCTGTGCAGGGCCTGGGTTTGCTAATGGGTTTTCTTGTCTTATTCTCGGGGTGCTGGTGCAGATCTCAGCATGTGTGCGTGCATGTGAGGTCTTGAAAGCGGATGGGAGACAATTGGGGATGAGTGTGGGATGTGCACACATTATAAAAGGAACAGAAAAAAGACTGATGTGGTTTTAAATAGGCTAACCCCTGTGTTTCTGTATAGGTGGTGCTCTTTAGTGGGCCTGAGGAAACACCACTTCAGTGGGAGTTTTGGTGCTGAGCTTGGTAGAGTTTGAAGCATTTTCAAAGTATTATCCTTCTAAGCAAGTTATTCTGCCAACAGCAAGCAAAAAAAGTTCAGGTAGAGCCCTGTGGTGGTAGTTAGGCTGATTCTTCAGCTGTGTCTTTTCTTGCTACCAAGGGTATGTCTGTGGTGGTTGTATGTGAACTGAAGTGAGTTTTTCATCAGGATGCAGCGTGCTGCAAGTGGAAGTGAGGTCATTTTGGATTATGTGAATTATGAATGGTTACAGAGACTTCTACACCAAGGTTTACAACATCATTAAATAAGTTCTTCAAAGTACTGAAAGTTTGGTGCAGAAATGATTGGAGGCAACAGCATTGACAGCAGTGTCAAGTTAGAGAGATTAGGATTTAAATTGGTTAAGAAAAACCAACCCCAAACCCACCACCACCAAACCAAGTAAAACCACACCAAAACCCAGCGCAGGCTCCTTGCTGAAATCTGTTATAGGACACCTCAGTCCAGGAATGTTTAACATTTGCATTGGCTGTTTATAACATTCTGTCTTAAAAAAAAGAAGTTTACATTTATGGGCAGCATATGATATGGTATCAATCATTTAGGACTTAAAATGTAAACAAGAGCCAAAGCCATAAGTTGGCAAACATCCTACATAGTTAGCAAATCAGCACAGGAGCTGGTGCTGGCTGTCCTTTAGGAGGATTAGCATCTAATTAAGCCATTTAGAGTGAGCCAATCTCATGGTATTCCCATTATTGCCTTGATAACAGCTGAAATCAGTATAAGCTGTGGTTTGTGATGAGTGAAAGGACCTCGCTTGTGTCTCCCTTGTCAGTAGAAAGCAGCAGAACATTCAGGCTTCTGTTCAGTTTCATCGCTCCTTCTGTTGTTGCATTTGCCAAAAAGAAAGGTATACTCAGCTTGGATTAATCAGTTGCTGTGTAATTACTTCAGGTAACAAGTAGGTTTCCTTTTGGACACATACATCTAGTTGCAAACCAATCACTTGTGTTAAGCTACTTATCCTACAGAACAGCAGGAAACAAGATTTACAGAGATACAGCTCATTAGTCGCTGAGTATGTCTTCTTTAAACTGCTTGGGATGTGTAACATCTAGGAGGGGGATGCTGATTGCGAGGCAGCAACCTCTACTTAAAGTGTGAATGTTAAGATGACTGCAAATCAACAAAAGTAATTGTCAGAAAGTGCCACATCCTGGTTGACGTTTGCTTGGTTTGTGCTGTTTTAGAAGGAAAAAAAGCTTGAGGCTGCTGCTGTTGTTGTTTGTATTGTGTTTTTTTGTTTTTTCTGTTAACAACATAGTTTAAGTATCTTTTGTTTCTTTACTTTTATTAAGTATGGATGCCTAGATTTATTTTTACACATAATTTCCGATGGGAAAGGATGGGCTGGGGAACACAGCAACACAAAACTTGGAAGTACATTAGTAATTGGATTTGGTTTTGTGCAGTCACAGGAAACTTAGTGATTGAGGGCCTTCAAGGGTTGACCTTTCTTGAAGCACACATGCCCTGGGGGCAACAGGATCCATTCATAGGTGGTTAGAAAATAACTATTGTTCACTGACATCCTCTGTTTTCTTCTTCCTTTTTAAACCAGGTTTGAATTATAACTTGACTGCTGATGTGGCAAAGAAGGAAAAGAGCCAGCAACCCAGAGTTTATTTTGTGACTTCTGGAGAGACGATGGGGCAGATCACAGAGAAGTTAGAGCTGACATACATGCAGGAAAAGTGCGAGCATTACCTGGCATATGTCAAGGTCAGTTCATTCCTGTCCTTACTTACGATGTCCTCGCTGCAATTCCACTCTTTTCTAAGTATTCAACCAAATAAAGTAGTGCTGTTTGGCTTTGGATGTTCTTTGTTTTCGTGACAGGTGGATTAAGTTTTTTGTGTGGAAGCTCAGAACTTTGTACTTGGCATGATTTGTTAGCCCTGAGCACCACTGGGCCTTCAAGACCTGGTGTCAGAATATGTATTTTATTTACTTTTGATCAGATGCAATTGTGGGGATTTCTTTCTTTTGTCTTGGTTTGTTGCTACACTTGTTAGAATAAGGAGATGAAGTTTTGTCTTGGCAGGAGCAGTGGGTTTGCTGTTTAGTTTTGTGCAAGGCCTGACTGCACAAGGAGCTGATGCGCAATCTGTGTGGGAGTGGCAGGGTAACACGGGGTCTGCCTTGAAGCAGCTGGGCTCTTGGATTTGAAGAGTACCCTGGATTTTATCTAAGCTTAAAATAGCAGTGGAATAACTCAATTTAACATGTTTTATGGTCCTGGGGATGCAGGAGCACTTTCCAGACAAGCTGGGACATAGAAAGGGTCTGGGGTCTTCTTCATCTGGGGTCTCCTAGGACAGTAGTTACCTTGATTTAGAAACTGTTGTTGAAGAAATGTCCCCCAGGTGCCAATCTGTTTGCAAAGTAAGCACAATAGTTTTCTTCTCAGCTAGGAAACTTATAGAATGGATTTTAAAATTATATAGGAAGGAGTTTTATCTTTTCAACAACATCTGTATTACAAGCACTAATCTGTATCACCAGTGTAGCTTGAAGTTTGGATATGGGGTGAGTTGCATATCCTCCTTTCATATTCCCATAGATGAGAGTGACCTAAATTCAATGGATATTACTTGGCACTCTCTTGTTTTGAGAATCCAGTGGGTCCAGACATCCCTAAATGTATAAACTTTTCCAGGAAGCTTCTTTGTACCTAAAAACTGTGAGAATGGGAGATAAAATTCATCCTTTGACTTTATCAACATTTTGTCCATGGCTGTTGAGAGAAAATAAAATAAATAAAGGGACCACCAAGGAGGAAATCCTGTTCTGTTAAGCTGTGTGGATCTCTGGGAAGAGACTAGGTATCTTCCATGGGTTTTCTTGTTTCTGGAACAACCTTTGCTTTCTGTTGTGGAAAAGCTTGTTAAAGAAAATGTAGGTTTATGAGATGACCATTACTTAGAAAATATGGCTGTGAGTTTATTAATTCTGGTCTTTCTCAAATGAGCACATCTGGTTAGGCTTTAATGTATTGATTCTGGACCAAAAGGAGCCATATGCCTCTTCATTCTTAACAAACAAGGCTACTGGCATTCTATATGATATAAGCAGCTATTCTTCACAGTTGGAAGAATAGCAGGAAGTGTTGTTTGTTCATGTAATGGAGAATGCAAAGTAGTGGAGAAAGATAATCCCTGTGCTTTCATGGGAAAGGTGATATGATCCATGAGGCTACATGACATTAGAAACATCAAAGAGAGCCTTGCGGACTCTGGAGGAGTGGAAACGGGGTCATGATCTTTCACTGCTATCCTTAAGTAACAGCTAGTAAAACAAAACCCCTGAAAACCAAAACCACCCCCCCCAAACTCCAAGCAGAAATCTCCTTGATTGCATAGGTTTGTGACAGAATGGGTGATAAAATATGTGGGCTTAAAAATATATGGAGTATTTCACTAGGACTTTCCTCCTTCCTTTTATTTAGTTTATGCCTGATGAATTCTTCTCCATGACAGATGGAGGTGTTTGCAGTTTCATCCTTAATCTGCTCACTCTATTATTGTTCATTTGAATCCCTGGTGACAAATAGATTTATATGGTAACATAAGGATGTCGGTTCTGGACTACTGGTGATCAAGGCTAGAGAAACTGTTTGAACTTTGTGACTTCATGTGCTAGCTTGACAAATCCGACTAGGCAAACAAGCTGTCCAGTCCAAATGGCACTCAGCAGAGCTCTATAGGTTGAGTTAAGTTAAATGAAAGCCTGTGCCAGGCCTTGCTGGATGATGGTCCTACCAACATGTAGTTGTAGCATGCTGGAGCCATGAGGCAGAAGAACTGAGTAAAGCTGTGAAAAAAACTAGACCTAAAGATCATTTAGTTCCAATGCCCATGCTATGAGCAGGGACACCTTCCACTAGGCCAGGCTGGATGGGGCTTTGGGGAACCTGGTCTAGTGGAAGGTGTCCCTGCCCATGGCAGGGGGTTGGAACTGGATGAGTTTTAATGTCTCTTCCAACTCAAACCAGTTTGATTCTATATTTCTTTTGGCAGATTTGATCTCGAAAGACCGCAGTAAAACAGTGCACTAAACAGTTAAAAGTCTGCAAATAAACTGCAAGTAAAGCATTGAATTGTTTTGCAATTGATAAATGTCAATGTTTCGAGCACTGCTACTTTCCTGTATGTGGTTCCCTCTCAGGACAGGAGCAGTTCTTATTGCTGCTGCTGAATTTGAGTATTGAAATCTGTCTTTCCTCATCACAGTGTGTCTGAGATAAGTGGATATCAAAGCTTGTGGGATATGTGTAGCTCAGAACTTGATTTTATAGAAGGCAGACTACCGAATTACAGCTCAAGTTGCTAGAATTATGGTAGTTCATAAGAAGACATGCTTTTCTGGTTCAGAACACAGAGTGAAATGGCAGTGCTTTGGGACTTAGAAGTGCTTTGAATTTGGCTTTGTAGTGGGCATGGGGAAGTAGAGGAGAGAGGCATTTTCTGAACTTTCTTTCCCCCTTTTCCTTCATTGGAATCTGTTTGATGATTTCTGTTTAAGCAACTTTAATTCTTTAGTGTACGTGGGCTGTAATTCCAATACTCGCAGCACCTCAGGTGTCATCTCCAAAAGCTGCATTTGTTCTGTGTTAAACAACTTGTGGAGGTTTGTCTGATACATTCAGTAGAAAATGAACAGCTGGTGCAAGTGGCTATTAACTGAGAAGTCGAGGAGCATCGCTGGTGCTCTCCTGTCAGCACATAGCCGATCCCTGCTCTCTCTCAGGAGGTGCTTTGCTGCTGGACAGTTCCTCCTCTGGCAGCCTAGTGGTGGTGATGCTCTCCCTATAGACTTTATCTTCAAGGGTGATAAAGCTACTAAGAGCAAATAAACTCAAGTAAATGCTAACTGTCTGTCAGTGTTGCTGGAGAAAAATGAAGCAAAAGCTGAAATTTCATTAGCTTTTTTCTTTAAAGGGATTAGTTTTTTTTGTAGAAGGAGCAGCAAACAAGTGTGAGAAAATGGAATGTGGTACTAAGAAGAAGCAGAGGTTGCAGAAGTAGAAACTGAAAAGATGAAGAAAATAAATGGGTTTGGAGGCTTTACAAGCATCTCCTTAATCTTGATATCTCTGCCTGCAGCTGAAATGTGGAGTTTTCTCTTGGGAACTGTACTCTTCTGATGGTATTCGGAAGACTTGAGCCATGTGTTTAAGACCTGCTGTGATCAGGGCATGGACTCTGAGGAAGCATTTCCCCTTTGGAGTAGCTGCCCTGGTTGTTTCCTGCTTATGTGGGCTCCCCTAATATTTAGGATACATTTATTTGTGTAGGATACATTTATTTGTGTAGGATACCTTTATTTGTGCACAGGACAAGGGAGTTTGATGCAGACAGCAAAGCATATTGTGTGCACAGATTTATGTGGGGTTAAATCTCATCTTCCTGGATTTATCACAAAGGTGTAATGGTGATTATGATTAAAGCCTATTGTATGATTCCTGCATTTGCTAAAGAAGAACTGTCTGGTTTCTTACTTTACTGTGGGCCATCCAGCTGGGCTGGCTGTTGCTACCAGTCACTGCTAGACACTGTGCAGAATGAACGTTGTAATAGCTTCAAACACTATCAGCAGTCCTGGCACAGGATTAAACTAGGCACAGCATTTATTTTTTCCAGAGATCTTTGTCTTGGTGACTGTCTGGTTGTTTTAAGCAGTCTCATGTTGCTTATCGTAGTAACTCTCAATGGATCTGGCTGTAGCTCTTGGGGAGGATAGGGCTGAGAAGCAGCAGTGGAGTGGTGATTCCAAAGCTTTTTCACAATGGTGTGTAGGTGAGGAGCTTAGGCTGTGCTTTTACAGGCAGGCTTGGAATAAAATGCTGCTTTTTCAACAGAAATTGCACGACAATGTTTTATTCACCACTGAATTATGTAGCTAAGATTTGCCTTTTCATAAGTATGTTTCTAGCCATTGTCTGCTGTGCATCACTGTTACCTCAGGTCTCTAAAGACACTCTGGGCTGATGATCTCGCACAACTTCATCTCTAGTGTTCACCAGTTTTAGTCTCACTGCCTGTGGTTGTGATTATTTCTCCCATAATAACTGTTTGATCCCACCTGTGGGGGATGAACGTACTGAAGTCTTTAATTCTTAATTCATAGTAATCTATTGGGTTTTTTTTCTAGAGTCTTGGTAGCAGAGCTTTCAGTCTCACAGTCATGTGTGATGTAGGGTTGGTGTCACCTTGATCATTTGCAAGATGTACTTTCTTCTGAAAGCTGACTACCTGTGAATTAACATCTGTATGTTAATGTTTGGTTGGTGGTGTTCCAGGATAGAGGAATGCAGCCAGAGACATTCAAGAGCTTATTTTTAAGGTTGGTTTTCATTCTTTTGTTTTTAATTGGATTGGTTTCTCCCGTAACTCTTGACATGAAGCCTTTTAGAGGGGGTGGTTTTCAGCAGAGCTTGGTTGCACACTCTTAGCAAGGCCTTTCCTGGGACACTGATGCTGTGAGCAATAGGTTGTGCATTACATGTGGACAATAATCACCACTTTGCAGAGGAAGAAGGGAAAACCAGTCCCTTGGCAAGTGCAGCTTCCCCCTGCAGTGCCCCAGTTGGTCCTCTCCCTGGGAGGGAACTCGGAGCAAGTAAGGGGATACCACTTGAAGCAGAGGCTGCTTTCACAGCAGCGACAGCTATGAAAACTTAGTCATGATTATCTAGGATTTCACAGTGTTTGGCCCACTGA